ATTTTGCCCATTGGACAATATTTCATCATGGCTTTAAGGTTAGAATTAGGGTGAAGATCAGAGTCAGTATGCGTTAAGGTTAGTTCCCTCTTATTTTCCTGTCACTGTTCTTGTGACTGTTTCTTTTACAATATCTGTCACTTTCAATGTCTCTTTCACCGCGATTGTCTATTTTTCTCTCGCTGTCGCAATCAGTGTCATCTCTTTGTGACTCTTCCCGCCACTGTAATTTTCTCTGTCACTGTCATACTGAAAATGTCTTTCTCTCTTTCTCTTTTTCTGTCTCTGTCATTGTCACTGTCTCTGTCGTTAGTACTGTCGATGTTGATGTCATTGTTAATGTGAGTGTCTTTGTCTTTTTCAGTGTGTCTGTCTCTGTCACTGTTATTGTATCTGTGACTGTTACTGTCTCTGTCATTGTCATCGTCAATGTGACTGTCGCCCTCTCTGTCTCTTTCAGTGTCAGTGTCATTGTCATCGTCACTGTCAAACAATTGTTTGAATAAAAAGCGAAAACTTAATTAACGCTCACTGTTCAATTAAAAAACGCTAACGTCAAATAAATTAGTTTTAGCAACACACCCACTTTTAACCATCGCACAACAAGGAAAACTAAAAGTGCGTGAGATATTATCAAAGCAATTGCAAATGAAGGAAAACTAAAATAATGCGAGATACTAACGTAACAATTGCACAAAAGGAAAGACTAAGAGACATCGTAATACTAACTTAACAATCTGGCAACATGGAAAAAAATAGAAGAGGGTGCTATACTGACTTGGACACTAGGCAAAACCTAAAGTTCGTGATACACCAGAGTAACAATCAGTCAACAAGGAAAACTGAAAATGCATAAGATACTAACATAACAATCAGACAACGAGAAAATTTTTAGTGCACGAAACACTAAGGTAACAATCGGACACCAAGGAAAACTAAGAGGAATAAAAACAAGTACACGAGAAGATACTAATAAAGACGACTAAATGTGCAAAAGAATACAACATTCAATCTGGCAACAAAGGAAGACTAAAAGTGTAGTAGATATTTACTTAATAATCGGACAACCAGGAAAACTAAAAAAGCAAGAGATATTAACAAAACAATCGGAAAACTAAAAGTGCACGAGACACTAACGTAACTATCAAAAAAAAAAAAAAAAAACAAAAAGTACAATACAAACCCACAATCAGGCAAAAGGGAAAACTATAAATGTGCAAGATAATAAAGTAACAATCGACATCAGGGAAACCTAAAAGTGAACGAGATACTAACGTAACAATAGGGAAACAATTAGTGAACAAAAAAATCGGAAAAAAAGGAAACCTTAAAGTTTCCAAGATAAAATCATAAGAAATGGACACTAAGAAAACTAAACGTGCTCGAGTAACTAACATAACAATCGGAGAGAATTGATGAATGAATGAATTTAAAATGCATCAGATTTTAACCAAACAACCGGACACCACAGAAAACAAAAAGTGCACGAAATAGAAACGTACTAATCGGACAACATGAAAAGCTAAAAGAGATTTTTAGATGTATAACGTAAAATTAAGACAACAAGGAAACGTGGGTTGGATACTTAAGTAAGAGTCGGGCGACAAGAAAAACTTAAAGTGTACGAGATAATAAGGTTATCATTGGAAAACGAGGAACACCGAAAGAGCACAGAATCATGACTAACGTAACAATCCGGCAACAAGGACAACTAAGGGTATGAAAGACCTTAAGGTAACAATCGCACAGCAACGAATACTAAAAAAGTGCAAGATACTGACTGAAAAAGCGGACAACAATGAGAATTAGGAGTGTGAGAAATATTAACGGAACAATCTGGTAGCAACGAAAGCTAAAAAAGTGCTAGATACAAACTTAGTAATTGAACAGCAAGGACAACTGACAATCGGAGATCGATGTTAACTGAAATTGCACGATATACTAACTATATATATGACTCATAACTCAGACTTATAATGTGTACTTTACTTTACTAACTAATGATTCACATAGGCATACTCCGAGCAAAAAATTCCGATTGCTTCCGATAGAAGTTAAAACTACGACCTTCCGACTAGCACTTCGGAAGCTCTACCCTGAGCTATGAGATCATGAGGGCCTCGTGGCAAGTTTGGCCCTTTACCTAAGCCCAAGGGGACAAATTTCCTACATACTGGGAGATAGGAACTTGGATTTGTGATACTTATGCGCAATGATGATGTAAATGAAGATGATAAATTCAAAGGTTCCTGATTTGAGCAAAGGAGGTTGTTATTCAGGGAATGACACTGGCATACGGCGAGGAAAAAAAATCTGAGTGCTCTCGAAAGGAGTTGAAGCTACGACCTTTCGGACGCTCTACCATTGAGCTATATGAGACTTGTGGCTAGCTGGGCTGTTTAAGTGGATCCATTTTAGTAAGAAGGAATTGTGATGGTCCATTTTCCTTGATATAGCCAGTTATATCAGTTAACTTTCTACGGTACATTTCAGCCCGAAATCTGATCCTCCCATCTTTCTCTCAGGTTTGGACATGATTTACCGGATCGACCACTTCAGAAAACTTGAGTAAAAAAAATGATAATTTTATGCTTACAAAAACATATACAATGTTTATTAAGACAACTAGCGTATTTAAACAAACACAGGGTTGTTGATTACAAATAATTTTACAAAGAACTGCAGAAGCTCAAAGGGTAATTTCAATTCGAGGTTCCCAAAAATGAACTCAAAGTACTTAGTTTCGCTTAGAGGTCCAACGTTCATCACAACAATTAGCTAATCCATAAAAATCGCTCAAGTGTGGTACCTTAAAGATTAATATGTTTCGGCAGGGATTAAATACTACTGCAAATAACAGAACTTACAGTGGAACTGAGACGGGCTCGCAGTTTAAGCGGGAATTCTTGATCAGTGAAAGGCCCTCCAATGTTCAGCTCTTAGGAGACGCTGTTACCGATTGGCTTTGGACATGAGTTTGTAAAGCGCTCCGCAAGATAATTACTTCGGCAATAGGAGACGTAACAATAACATCAAGGTCTGTGGTCGATAGGCTACGATCTACAATGTGGATATCGTATGAGGCACAAGATCTTCTTACGCCTCTCTTCAATAATCTAACAACAAGCCCATAGGATACTTTTCCTAACATCTACAAGTTTTCGAAGGAAACCACCGGTACCAAGACTTCTATCGCTATTCTTCTCCGGAAATTCCCACCAAGACGATGACATACGCATATGATCAGTACCTAAAATACTGACCGATCTCATCCATCAACACCATACGAGAGAAAAAATTGCGGCAATGTATTTCCCCCGTCTCTCATATAGATGGAACCAAGGTTGGGTTTTATCCAAACGTTAGATCTTACCATTCTCGTAACCCCTCACAACGAAATGGGAAATAACGGGAGTCAATTTTCGTTTTTTCGTTTAAAAAACGACAGAACGGAAGTTGACTTTGTTTCTTTGCTTTTCGTCCTAGAGTAGAGGTAATGGAACGTTATATAAAAAATTTCAGCAAATTTTGGAGATTTTGACGTTTTTCTTTCGTTAACATGATAGGTTAAGTAGTTTTCAACTCAGATACCAGTAACATAATGTTTTTTCTCAGACTGTCTTTCTCTCACTACCTTATCACGTTATAAGCCCTTAAAAATTTGTTTTGATGCTCAAGCTTTCGAGTTTTCAACCAATACCTCTGGTGGGCAATTAGGCCGGTAACTAATACAGAATGCGGTCTTTTTCGATAAACGGGAGGTTTTCAGCCAATTAGAGCGCGCGCAGTATCCTATTTTTTTCATCAGTGATGCGTGATATATATTCTCAGCTCCGAGGCTCTCCGATCTCTTCCAAGACACTCAAGTGACCTCGACATCGAACGACAATCGATGTAGGGTTTCTTCTTTTGTTATTCTTGACAAGTGATCGAATTTTCTGTTGCTTTTCAAATTTTCGGACAGTCTCGGACTCTCTCACAACTCCTTCAAGACCTTTTTCGCCCTAAAACAAACCTCACAACTGAAGGAAGGTTCGTATTTTATTCATTCTATTTGAAGAAAACGACAAAACTTTTAAGTTTGTAAAACGTGTCTCGTGTGTTCAGTTAATTAAAGTACAAAGCGTCGGAAGTTGAATGAAAGTGTGAGAATTAAAAGGATAGCTTAAGATTAAAATGGCGTAATTGTTGATTCAAAGAGGGTTGTTCTCTCTGAATATGAATAGCCTCTTTTTTCTTGAGTTGAAAACCGGTAGGGGCGTGATCCAAAACATAGAATCTACCTGCTAAACACAAAGCGCAACAATGTTCAGAATCTTGCAGATGTTTAAAAATGTGGATTTGTGAATTTATTCATTTTAAAAATAATTTACAGGCACGAGCGCACCGTGTGGTAAAACCAGTGATCCTCGAACTAGTGCGATATACGAGTTGTGTCGCGTTTCCCAAAATTTACCTTAACTTACATTTTTACAACAACAAAATCATCAGTATATGTCCTCTCATCGGTGATTCAGGGTCTAAGGGTAAATAATGGACATAGCCATTAGACATCACGATATCTTATTTTCATTGGCAGGTGTTTAAAGAAAAATGAGGGTTTTCTCACGAAATGTTTCACGTATTCGCGGTTGGCTCCCTATTTTCATGTCACTTATTTTCTTGTCAGTAGGCGTTATTAGTTGTGAAATAATTATGACCTCAAGTCCATGTAAATAAAAAACACCTGGTTTTATTTCGTTTTTTTTTCTCTTGGAAACGTTATAATAAGTATCCTGAAATAACTTCGAGGATTGTCATAAATTTTCTTTAACTTTAAAAAAGGACTGAACATTTGAGTTGAATGAAACTCGTGCAACAATTTTTAAAACTAATGTGCACACACTGTTTCCATTTTCTAAAATGCACCAATGAAAAACAAGAAGTAATTCCACCATTTAGAAGATGAGTCAAGTTTCACTTTAATTGACTAGTAAGAAGATGTATAGATGAGGTGACTAATATTCTCTTTATTCGTGTACACACAGTCATTGTCCCCTAAGATGTACCCACTTGGTGTTCATAAACCAACAATGAGGGCTAGGTTACTTCTCGTCGTTTCCTTCGTAGTCAATTTCAAAATTTATCACAGTTCCAACACTGTTTTCCTGCAAAAATTTATGCAGTTTAATCTAACTTCTCCAGGGGAAGAGACTTCTTCACCAACAGATTCGAGACCAGAAGCAAACTCAAGCGATACCTCCAATGACTCTAACGTTCTTATGTTGGACCTTGGGCACTCTCCCGTTTGTCCAAGCGAGATGAACATATTTTGGCAACTGAGGCCACCGTTCACTTCGGAAAGAAATGATAGCAAAGATAAACCGACTGATGGGATTTTCCATCAAGCTTTAGATTTCGCCATAGGCGAGTGCTGCCAATTTTACAAGGGAAATAAACCTGTAATGCGTTACTTAGAAATGACCGATAATTCGACTTCGCTTCGCAGCCATATTCTCGCAGATGAAACGAGCTTGGTGTTTCCCGTACAAGAAGATTGGTTCATAGGTCGTATGCTCTACATTAATGTATTGGATTCTCCTGGAGTTGTTTTGATTCGAAGAGAAACTTTTTATTCAACGGAGAGAAGAACTCAGCTGTTGAAAGCGATTTTTGGAACGTGGCCTATCGTAATTTTAAGCCTTTTGTTATCGTCTGTTGCTGGAATCTTCATATGGATGTTGGTAAGTCACGCATTCAGTAAAAATTCAAACAACTTTTGCATTTATAAATGCAACAGCAGTAGACTTCAAGGCCTTAAAAGGCCTGGAAGTATTGCTAATTTTGTAAATAGTTCAACAGATGCATACAGCTTTTATCTTTAACTACAATAAAACCGTAAGTGAAGAGGCAAAGACTTTAGTCACTTCCACGATAATTTGGATTGCTCAAGCCAGTACTGCTGGAATAGATTTATGAATTTCGAGGATCAACACTAAATAAAACATTTGGTGAAAATACAAAGACAGCTGCATCTTTAAATTACTCCGTTTATGTCGTATCTAATAGTGAACATTATCTACAGAACACTCTTGGCCTACTTGTCCTTTTATATGTGAATATTAATTAGTGTGGATCCCGCTTCTTACCTTTTACCTTTTCTCACCCTCGAAATAATCCGCAAAACCCTCAAGAGCATCAAGTTAAAAATATTTTCTCTAACTTACGTCTAGAAAATTTAGAGATACTTTTTTTTTAATTTCAGATAACTTTTGTTAGCTCTGTGTGTTATAATTTTGCATTAGAATCACAAACTTTTGAATGATCAATTGATCTGGAGGGCATATCTTCATGTGGGGTCGCAACCTGGGTTGAAAAATCGATTTGATTTGATTCAAAGTCGGCTCCAGTTTTTTTTAATCATATCCCAGACTTAGAGCCTAACGTCAAGCAAATATCAAGCTGACCACCTACGTTCTGTTAACACCACCCTTCTTAGGGTGTTCACCTGCACTTGCGGACTAGGAACAGTGTATAGAGGTTACTAAGGAGTAAACACGACCAGACACATTTGGGAAAATGGCGTCAAAATTGAGGCTTTCTGAATTTGGAAAACAAATGGATAAAGTGAAAATCATGCGCTGTAAAGATCCGCTCTACGCTATTTAAACCACACTCTGTTGACTACTAATTGATTTGTTTTCCTTTTGTTTCAAGGAAACTAGAACAAACAAAGAGGAGTTTGGTCGTCCTTTCTACCGTGGAGCTTTTGATGGATTCTGGTGGGCGTTTGTCACCATGTCAACAGTCGGGTTAGTAATTTTATACAGTTTAAAGTACAGGCTTTCTGTAAAATAAATTTGAAAATCCGTTTGGTGTCCAAAAACGACGAAAGGAGATCTTGGTGTACCGTGCGTATGGCTGTGCCTACAGTTTTTCGCAGCTTCCAATTTTTGAAATCAAATGATTACAGTAAAACAGAATGTAGAAAGTGCTCATTGATTGACAGCCTTTCACACAACGCGAAACTGGGATAGTATAGCTTTCTCTGCATACTCAACCCTGTTCCGCTCTGCCCTGTCAGCTTATAGCCAACCACTCACTCGTTTTATCTCATTTCTTCTATGGTGAAATTTTACTGATGGAAAGTAATAGTATCTATGATCACTTCAGGTATCGGTTTAACTCACCTGATCCTGAGGTAGTAATTAAAAAAATGTATTTGCCGATATGGTACTTTAAACATTCAGTTCGCTTGCTCAGAATTATAGCCCTTAATAAGGAAAAAATTAAATCAGCATTTAATTGTTCTTTTGATGTGTCGCACAATCCAGATATGGTGATAAAACCCCAAAGTCAATAGGTGGCAGGTTGTTTTCTGTGGTATGGATTATAACTGGAATCACTGTATGCTCTGTACTGACTGCCACACTTGCAAGTGCTTTGACGAATGTCACAGTGGAAAGATATGATGTCACCGCAACAAAAACCGTAAGCCGTATCTAACAATTAAGTTTTATGTATCTATTGTAGCACTGTGAAGTATTCCAGGTTGTTTTAATATAATTTGAAAAAACATGAATGATGTTACTGACCAAGTATGCGTACTGACCCTCCATTCTAACATCATATCTATACGCTGATGCATTTATGACCACTGCCTTCGAGACTTTAGCAAGATTATAGCACTGTGTGATAAAATTGCAGATTGGCGCACAGAAGGAAAGCTTTGCCTTTAAGCAAGCTGTAAACCTCGGAGCAAACGTTGCAGGTAAGCAAAGGGGATGCGGCGGAAATGCTATTAAACTCACTTATGTAATCTGACTCTGCAAGGAAGACCAACTAAGAAAATTCAGACCAATATAAATTGGTCGTCATATCCATGATAGACTCGTAACGGCGAAAGGCTTTAAAACACCGATGGAAAGTTAGAACGTTTGGTTTCGTTTTAAGAAGCATGCTCCTATATAAAAGTTTACATTGACGATAATAACTTTTATCATGACACTGAAAAACTTATAATTAATGTTAAGAGTAATTTAGGCGTTTCTTCATGCATTTATCATTAAAAAATAATCGGTGGTCAATTTTCTTTGTTTTTTTTCATTAGAATTTGAAAACCTTCAGGAAGCGTTCTTTTCTTTGGAAAACGGATCTGTAGAAGGTATTTTGGAGGAAATGTTCACTGGGATTGAGTTTATGAAACGGAAACGTAATGAAGGATTATCGATTGCTCAAGTGTTTGAAAGACAACACTACTACGGTGCAGGAATAAAAAGGGATGGCTTCAGTGCTAAGGTGTTGGACTGCCTACAAAAAGTCGTCAACTTTGTCTCTGAGGATATCTATTCCAATACAAGCAGACTTCTTAAATCTTTCAAAGTAAGGTCTTCACATGTGAGTTATACCCCCTTTTAGAGGCTTTACGAGCCAGTCCAGGCGGCTAAAAAAAGCCCTGCAGATACTTATTTCAAGCTTTAATTTCCTTTAAGTAAACAACTAACGCACCATTAAATATTTACAGTGAGTGAGATCAATGTAGCTGCCTTCGGCTTTTAAAAAATATATTTCTGAAATTGTGTTCATTATAGTTTTACGCTCTAAATCAAAACACTCTCATCCATATTTTGTCTCTGTTTGTCTTCCTAACGCTTGATGATTGTAGCATTTTGACGAGTCTTCTTCTCAGATGAGTGAAACACCTACCGATTCAGCCAACCAAAACTACAGTGGCCTATTTGATCACAGTTCTGTATCATTTAAAGCAACGGTTATCGGAATTTCTGTTACCCTAGTTCTGTTCATGACCTGCTCCTGTGGGTTTGCGGGGATCAAGCATCTACGACGAAAGATATCAAAGGAACCAGTTGACTTAGAAGCTGGAGTAAAATGAGGTAAAGAAAAACCTTAAGCCATTGTTATCATTCCGTAAACACTCCAAATTCTTTAAGTAATGTTATTGTATAAGGTGTATATTAATTGTGAACAAGATGTTTCCTTGAAGGTGTTTTAAACCAAACTTCATTTTTGCCTTATGTGTAATTGAAAGGGTCATTATTTAAAAACTTGCCATTCATGACAGTTTCTCAAGCAGCGTCTCTTAAGTATCTAGAAGTTATGTGGAGACATCCCAATTTAGACACATCCTAATTTTCTCCGTAAGACTTTTATGGACGTTTTTGAGGTTGAACTCAACTTTTTTGGAGAGGAAGACATTTCTCGTCATGAGAACTTGTTATTACTCTATGGTGGACGTTGAAGCAGCTTTCTGCAAGCTGAGTTTACGTGCAGGTGATGTCTGCATTCAGTGCTCTAAACATGTGTTCAAAATTGATTGATTCAAATAGGCAATAAATATCTATATAATGGAAAGTATATAATATCTATATAATGTTTTTTTTCTTATAATGAACTCTCGCACATCTTTAATATGTACAGTATGTGATAGTCATTCATTTGGTTTAAAATCAACAATATTTGAAACAGAAACTGGATTTATTTTGAAAGAATTTGAAGGAGTGGTATTTCAAAACCGTATATCTTGGATTACGCTGTGCACATAAGGAAGACCAGATGAAGTAAGTCTCATTTCTCAATCTCATTTCTTTCATAGGTTTCTTTTTTATTCAAGGCTATGTACAGGGTATTTCTTTACAAGATATGAAAAAAGGTCAAGCTTGCTGCCACGTTTACTTACTTCCAATCCAATCTAATCCATTACCGTGCACATGCTGAGTTAAGATAACTTACATTCCTCGCGAGCTGTATTAAAACACTACATTGGCTTTTCTTTAATAAGCATATGATTGGTCTGAAAAGTCTTGTCAGCCTTAGAACCAATCCGATATCCAAGTAAAGAGAGTCGTAATTTGGTCACTCGCGATTGTCCAGCTCTTCGAACTGTTTACTTGTTTTTACTTTAGACTCACTGACGCTATGGATATTTGACTTGTTCTAATCGGCAGTTTTGATTACTTTACCCAGTCTCGGATTTGCCATATTTAATCGAAATCCATGCTATTACGCCTTTTCCCGCGGTCGCCCCTATTTAATGCACGAGTGCTTGAAACTATGGAGTTTTTAATCTATCGTTGTAATATGTGGATTGAGGATAGTTTAGCTTTATATAACTTAAATATTTGTTTTTGGAAACTAGTTACACTAACATGACAACCAAATTTCCTGTTTTACTAATCAAAGTGAATCGTTCACATGCATATTTGGACAAGGTAACTTGGCTTTCAATTTGATAGTCAGGAAGGTTAGTCTTGGTCTGGGGTCTTGTGACTGAAAACGAGCAGAAAAAAAAATTACCTTTGGTTATAATTTAAGGATAGACTAGATTTGAGATGACTGAATCTTTGTAGAGGAAGTAGCCATTTTATAAATAATTCATAAAGTTTAAAATTTGTGTACTGCTTTCTGTCTTAATTTAAGAACTGAGTCGTGACAAGACTGAGCACTTCCACAAATATTACTGGATTACATTAAGTAAAAAGATAAACAAGGAGCTATGGAAGACCTTGAGTCGTTAATAAAAATTAATTAATACAAAATAAATGAAACTGACACTTGTAGTCATTCTGCAAACTCGTACACTAAGCCAACAGTCAACATCGAGAAAAACACGATGAGAAGAATCCGAAAAGTTCTCCCAAACTGGTGCGAGTTATCATCCAGCATCTTTACTATGACGTCAATGTCATCAGCTGTCACTCGACGGTTCGACTCATTCTAAAGAGTAATTAAGAGGTTTCTGTGTCAATATAATAAAGATGACGACAATAAATCAGAAAAAAAGCAAGAACAGTCCACTTTTAAAGGGAGCCTTAAAATGATGAATTACGATGGACAGATGAGCCCCAATTATCATAAAAAAAGAAGAATTCAGAAAACAGCCACACAATTTAACCTATGATTGATTTTCTTGTCTTTCCTTACGCTTTCCGCTTCCCCTCGGAACACTTTTATCGATCAATAAACTTTTAAGATAAAGATGTGCGAGTCAAGTCGATCAGTAAAAAGAAATTTTTTTGATGGCATGTAAACAAAGCACAGCAAATTGTAAAACAACGAGTTGTCCGATTTAAGGATAAAAGGTGAAAAACCCTGCAATTTAGGTCCATATGTAAAGTGCCCCATACCTGCTAGAGTATTTTCAGATTCTGTAGCGTGAGGCTGCAAGGGTTATACTACTACTCCCGCTACGTCAAATGAAACCCATCTTTTAAATCTTGTTTGGAAAGAGGAGTTTGGGACGAAAGTATCTTTTTTCATAAACACTTCAAACGGACTCGATTGGAAACGGAAACGAAACGATTGAAAACGGAAATTTTCAAACGGACTCGACTTGGGCTTATAATTTAATTGACTTGAAAGTCTCCCATTTGTGCCCGTTTTTAAGCAAAGATATGCCATTTTTGGGGAAACCCAACTGACCTTCGCAAGTGTCTGCTGATGTGGTCAAAACGCTAACACAGGAACCTGGATTTATCTTTTGCAACTTACATGAAACACTTGGACGTGTCGTAAAATGATCTTTTTAATATCACGTTGTCTGTATTTAAAATGGTCTCTCAAGCACCCCAAGTACTCGTTAAGGGTATGATGCCCGCGTCTGATGACAAAGCCAATTGAGTGTTGACTTTCGAAGAACATCTTGACTACCCTCCGAGAGTCACCAATGTTGTGCATGAAGTATGAGGCAATGTATATGTCCGCCAAATTCCTTCCACTTCTCTCTTTTCCATGAATGCCTTGTACATTTGGTAGAAGTCAGTATAATCTATACAATTGACAGAAGATAATTAGCATCTAGATAAGTAATAGTAATAGGACTGAGTGGCGTTCGAGTCTTGGAGTAATCGGGCGAATGATTTGAAATTACCGTCACGATCATTAACGCTGAATTGTACGACACGAAATCCGATTACCAGTTAATTGTGTCGGTAATAAAATGCGAGAATATCAGGAATGAGAAATTCAATAAAAGAGTGCATATGCCTCTTATTGATACATATTTAGCTAAAGTTCAACGTTCAAAGTCTAAATATTGTTCAAATTATCCATGCAGTGTTCACTCAAGACGTTTTCTTAACTTTATTTACTTCATTTTTGTTTTTGTATTGAGTTTTATTGACTAATGGCTTAAAGTGTTGAATTACTCTTTGTATATAGGTAATCACATTATTTCGAGTGCAATTTGGGATAAGTCATTGCGAATAAATTTTTCAAATGCTTAACAAATTGCCGAGCCCATAGGGCAAGTGCAATTTATAGTCTTTGAAAAATTTGCGCGTGCTGATTTATCCCAAATTACACGAGAAAAATAATGTTATTACTTGTTAACAATAAACAATGGCTCTGTCTTCCTCTTTACTTTTTTACTTTTTTTCGTGTCATGACTCACTGGTTCGCGCGCTTCCCTTTGCTTTTTTGCAAGAGTAGTCAGACTTCCCCCCCCCCCCTTAGAATTTGGTTGGAGCTTCTCAACTCTCCGTCACGAATAACCGGGTGTTTTTACTTTCCCTGCTAGGTATGGGCCGACAGAAGTTACCAGTACACAAAACGCAATAAGCTAGTTATCTTTCCCGTCTTTCTTACGAACTGTCGCCTAAAACTCCCTGAAAAAGTTTGTTCAAGGCCACTGATTCATGCTTTTCAATGACCAAGACTTTCAGGCTTTTGCCAGTTCTTTGTGCTTTGTGCTTTGTGTTTATGTTTTTCTAGTTCTCCCTCAAACTATGAATTAAGACTTTTTCTTCTCGTAACCTGTCCACCATTTTGTTTTGTTCGGCTTTCGCGACGTCAACCAATTTTTGAATTTCAACTTTCTGTGCTCCATTTCAACTTTTTGCACTCAATTTCAACTTTCTACACTGTTTGGGATTAATTGACGTGTTCCCAGACAATGAGCATGCTGAAAGCCACACATAAGAGCTGTTGAGAACCACTCATATTCGAGTATCAGTATTTTGTTGCTGAAACAATTAAACATACAAGATCAAGGTTTTTTTGTTGTTGTGGTGGCATCTTTGCCATCATAGGTTTTTATCCAGCTTTTCAGCGCGTGATCAAGTTTTTTATCAGCATCAGCAAAGGAAAAATTTCATTGAAATGTTTGTCAAAAAACTGAGGGAAGTCAGAAACTTCCTCAAGAAATTAAAAGAGGAAATTATTGGCAATCATGCCTTGAACATCAGTACGTGATCAACCACCAAGGTGTCAACGGCCCGTTGAGAGTATGACAAAAGCGGCAAATACTCTGTATCACGCATCGTGAGTTACCATTAACATCTGCAGTATGTTTCAGAACCTCATCATAGGCGTGACAGTCTGCAAGAACTGCAACCTGTGTCAGAATGAAAATGAATTTAAACTGTTACATTGTAGCGTAGAGGAGTTTTGAAATTACTCGTAATTAATCGAGGATCTTAATGGAATTGGTTATGAGATCTAGATCTTAGTACTCGCCCAAGACTATCAAGACTTAAACCTGGTGATGATGTCAGTAGACCGATCAATTTTCTTTGAATTTTCGTTGGCCACTGTATTGTTTTGACACTTGTAACATCTAATAGCGTTTAAAAGGTAAAATATTTATCCAAAATATGTAGAATATAATTTTAACTTGCCTTGGTAAAATACATACCTTAAGTCCAAGTGAATATTCTCTTTGATGGATGATAACGTCAGGACCCTCGTAAAAGTGGCCGTGAAGAACGAGCATAGGACAAGGCCGATTAGAATCCACAGGATACCAAACAAACGAGCCAAATAGGACTTGGGAATCGTGTTACCGTACCTGCCTGGGTGAAACCAAGTGAAATGTATGATAAGGAGTAAAAATTAAATCCGTTTTAAGTGAGCACCTGCTGACGATTATGAATGTGAAACAAAGTGAATCATTCGGAGAAAGGGAATGAATTTGAGGTGATTGATGAAAACAATCGATAAAAACGGTAAGCAAAGAGCTAAGGGATTCTGTCTGTTCTATCATCCAGTATATCGTACCCTACTGCAGACATGTTCACAATAGACCACCAAATTCCCTCCATTACTCCTTGCACAAAAGAGCACGGGAAATGATTCCCGATAGCGTCCTTTCGAAAAGACAAAAGTTACAAATTCGTGAGTAAAAAGGACCCTAATGTAACTTATATTGGTTAGAAAAGATAAATACAGCTGGATTAAGTATAAAGTTCAGGGCATTTCCAATTTTGTAAATCATGAATATGGCTAAATAGTTTCTTTCAAATCTTTTTGGCCCACTCACAGGACACATGTGTCATGACCAAATTCAGACAGGTGCTCCATAGGCCCCCCCCCCCCCCCCGTGAATCACTTGTTTTACGTCCCAAGCAGCATGATGATATTTTACAGAATTGGCCTCACTTCTCTTCTGATCCTACAATTTGAATAAAATCGAGTAATACGTCAAAAAGTCTCACAAGTAAAGGAAATATTTAATTATTGAAACTCCTATTCAGTTTTCATTGAGGTGATTTTCTCGCATAATTTCTTTTTCCTCATCGCGTTTTGCTAATCGTTCTGATCATTAAAAAATGATAAGCCTCACAGGACCTCTGGAATCGTTAGGTGCGATTATTTTTTATCGCAGACGGCCAGTTCGACTATTTAAAATAAGCAGTGCGATCAGTAGCATTAACTTCTGTGAGATTTCGCAAAACGTAGGTTTTGTTTCTTTTATAATCGTTTGCGATTTGAGTCAGTATGCAAATTGACTTTTTTTCTGTAAATTGATCTTTTTTTTCTGTAAAGTGTTCATCGGTACTAGCAATATCGCTTAATTTCTTTTTCCTCATCACGTTTTGCTAATCGTTCTGATCATTAAAAAAAGACTGGACTAATAACTCTTTTTTGTTTGAAGCAGAAACATCGAAATTTCCTAGAATTTGGATTTCTCTATGGTCTCAAGGCAATAGAAGACTACTTGCTCGATCTCAAGGATATTTAATTTCTATAAATATTCCTCAGTATTTCTTTAAGAATTTCTGTGCCCGAAGGGCGCTTCTAATTTGCATTATTAATTTCTCTCGGACACTGTCACCCATAAACAAATTTGACAGAAGTAAAAGGAATGCAGGTGATGGGAGCGACAATATAGTGAACACAGTAACGTTTAAGTTTTCAGAGGTTAACAGTTTCCCTCAAAACACTCTACTAATTCGGAGGCAATTCGTAAATATTTCTATGACAATGAACACATTGAATTCACATCTAAGAGTAAACATTCCAAATTATTGATAGCGACAGCGTTAATCGTGGCTTACCCTGAAACAGCTTCTGAGAAGCTGGCAATATTTATGTTTAAAATGACGTTTTATGTTACCAGTCCCTGGTTGTTCACCAGGCAAAATTTCTGACATACAGAAAAAGCTTTAGTTGTGAAACAAACCTAAGAACTTCTGTCGTCCTCTTTTGGTTAAGATGGTCAACCTATCTTTAAACAGTCAGTCTATCTTCAACGTAAAATAGCAGCCATTAAGAAGCTTTAAAAGTTAAATAAACTATATTACAAAACATTTTTTAATATGTACCGATCAATGCTCAAACAAACAGACTCGCTAAGCCTGTCATCAGCAGCACTATCACGACAACAGGCCATGTATCTTGCATAGCACCCACAACTAAGTCCTGTGAATGCTACTTCAGTTGTTCTCTATTCAGGATAAAAGCAAAACTTGGCGACTTCGTGACCTGTACGTACTCATAGCCGCTGTATTTGCCTCCCTCGTTGCTTTGCATTGGCATAGCAGTGTCAGCTTTTTTCTTCACGATAGTTTGATCTAATTGTTGCAGATCTTCGGTGGCGTTTGTGTTGTATATCATACTTTCTGGGTCTTCTATTACCCAGCATATTTTCAATCCTTTGTTGAAAAGTTCATACACTATACCTTTAAGTTTGGTTTCATTCGCAAAGGCTGGCTTTTCCTCCTCCCCTCCCGGCTGAACTCCTCTTGAATGATTCCGTTCAGTTGCTGAATCTCTATCGTTATAGATATAAGGTGGCCTATTCAATCACGTGATGAATATTTTATTTCCATTTGATTTATCTTGGCAAGTTGTGGAATTATCCTTTTCCAGAAGACTCACACTCAGAAAGTCTATATCATATCCAGCAACCAAAAAGGGATGAAACGCAAATACCACTGTGTCAATGATCTTCATGCTGTCACCAAACCCTACTTTTATGTAAGAATTTTAGTACCACAATATTTTTTTTTGCTCTAATTCAGCCGCGAGCAATTTCTTTCAAACGTTCGTTAGCCGTATCAAAAGATCATCATCAGATGTTTCCTTGGCCGCATTACGTCCTTGGTGGAGAGTTTAGCTAAAAACATGCAGTTGCGCTGTTCAACCTCCCCCGCTGGGCACCCGTCATCGATCTAAATAATTATGCGGTCGACTGTCTAAATAATTTACCAATTGGAGCCACAGAAACAGACTTTTGTGCATAAAAAAAACGCTGATGATATACTTCCTACATGTTGAATCAAAAATTTATTTTACTTCTTTAAAACCTCCCCAGGGCCGAGGATACTTGGATGTAAGAATGGTGTATCAATGAAAATTTTACCATATTAGCATCCACGACTCTCGCTTTTTTGCATTTTGAGGAGGAACTTTTTGTTCTTTCTTTTCGGAAAGATGTTGTTTTTAAAACGTCAAAAATAAAATTGAAACGTAATTCGAGTGGCATCGTGTCGCTTTAGAAGCAATAAAAATGTCCTATTTGGCAGTGGAGATAATAATCAGCAATCGAAAAGTATTTCAATACTTAATGGATGGTCAAATATTGGGTTCACTGTCAATATCTAAAACATATCATCTTCTACAACACCAAATGTTTGGCCTATGGTATGCGTTCAGTGAAAAAAATTTCATGAACAAATTGATAACTTGTACTTTTGGCCACATCATACTGAACTCAATCCGACAAGACGTTCAAAGAATGCATAATTTATGTTATGATTAAGTGTTTACTTATTGCCAATACATCCAAAGATGAGCAAAGCCTTGTATCTGCTTTATAGTACAGTATTACCCTAAACCTGTCCGTAAAACGAAAAGTAGTAGATAAAGTCCCTGACATGCTTTTCTGATATAATTTTCTAACGTTTATTACCAGTTTGTTCACTACCTTCTACAAGCCAAACTTAAACAAGTTATGGCAAGATGCCTAGCGTAAGTTGCAGGCGGTAAAATGGGTATGGTAATAAAGGCATCTGCGGGCAGAATCCCACAATCCCTTAAACTGGGCTTTTATAAGTTTTTACAAAACTTAGGCAAGGGAAGCCGTAAGTGAAAGAAGTGGGGGCGTTGCTTGCATTATTCGAATCAGACCTTCCCACTGAGAAAGGAGCCGAGCATTACGTTTCGTGGTCAGTTTGATTAAGCTAATTTAAGCTGTATCCTTATCGACCTTATTCGTTAAGTCTTTGCATGAAAAAAAGAGCCCGCGAACATGTTAACCAAGTTGCGCTCGACTGGGATGAAAATGAAAGCGATGAAGCCGCGAAAACGAGCAAAGGAGCTTATTCCTTTTTTTTTCTGTTGCAGGCCTTTCGTAGCTTCATTTCAAATGGCGTACCGTGAACCGCGAGCTACGCAGGCTACTCAGCGCAGCAGGCCAGCCAAGAGAGATTACGACGAAGGAGGAGACAAATTCGAAAGAAATTTGAAAAAAATAACAGAAATTTTACTTGCAAGACAAATAGGATACAAATAGAAACGAAAAAAAAAAAAGTTATATATATAACGTAATGTGGCTGTTCTTAATCCTACACCATAAAACGCTTTTCTTCAGCTTGGCATTTCCCATGTGCAAGAGAGGGTTCTCCTCCATGAAACTTCTAATTGTTCAAACAGGTCGCCTAGAAATGTAATGAAGGAGAGGGAGAATTTTCCGCATAATTTAACGGCCAGATGAGGATGCTTTATTCGAAATGGTGACCTCCGAAATAAAATATGTTGCCCATTTGAAAATCTTTCAAAGGCAATGTTACTCTTTGGAACCCGAAACGTTATCACTGTCATCGCACGCTTTCTAATGGCTGAAAAGGAAATTACTTGTTGTCGGTGGTGAGAGGGTAGGTGTTACAACCTTCTACCGCGGCCTTGTGAACAGCACACCACGTTTTGATCGATCTGATGATGAGACTAGCGTTGGAAACGAGTCATGATGTTTACCCCGACTAACTGTTCGCCATGTAAATGAGCAAATTATTAAATATATAAATAAATAAACGGAGTGAATGAATGGTTAATAATTGAATAAATGACTGGTGGAATCGATAACTGGATGGATTTAAGATGAATAGTTGTCTTTCCTTTCCACAAATTCGTTAGCATAGACCGATCCACATCTCATCGCGTTATGAGACTCATCACCGGCAGGCGAGTAACCCGAGAAATTCAGTCCTTGTTTTGATAAAGCTACTTATACTATGTCTACTATTTCATATTTCATTAGCTGTTTGGGCAATTTTTTTTTAGGATTACCTTTAGAGAGGCATACCTAGCTTGTTTTCACTGACGCTCGTTTGTCGCGTTCCATGGCGCTCAAGTCTGATTTGTTTTTTTTTGGTTTCTTTTTCAACAATTCAGTGTTCTCGAGCAGAAGAAGTTTTTTCGAACAATTATCTTAGACCCATTTACTTTTTATTTGACTTTTTTGGGCGTGCTTGAATGGCAGAATACTTAGTCACGTACTTTGCCCCTAAAATCTCAACAGGCCGACGACACTTATTAATTTCACGGAAGCTAATGACGATTGAACTTTGTCTGAGCAAATAAAGCCGTACAGACAGTCATTGTTTTGAATTGATACCCCTGTCGATTTTGATGACAGCCGAGCTATTTTAGCAAACCACAGTACTACAGAGGCGCCAGCTGTAGTCTCAGATAACTGATATCAAATGCCGGGATAATACGATTACGTCCACCACCGGAAGAATTATCTAATTACTGTCATAGCTTCAGTAAAATTAATTAGGCGTGCATACCTCTTACTGTGTGATCTGAGTGAGAAAATGCCTTATTTCTTTTAACTAACAACAGTAACTTTTCAAGAGATTAAGAACTGAGGTCGTGGTCAAGATTCCGTAAGAGCTTCATGAGTGAACAGGCGATCACTAAGATGGGTGCTCTTTATAATTCTAGTCATTTTTTCTCTAATTACAATCGTTCTCTATTTGTTCGTGTGTAGACCCCCATAGTTGACCACAGAATTACAATAATTGTTGTCACAAGATGTAAGCGCATTTTTCACTCTATGAAAATAGATTTAAGTTATATTTAAGGTGCGCCCCATGGTTTGGAAAGCTTCTTAAGGATCCGTAAGCAACCCAGTTTATTTTTCTGCTTACTTCAAAGAGTTTGTCCTTTTTCTCAAGGAACTAGAGATCATACTTAATCTCGCCTTGGAGCATCTGTAACCATTCAGCTCCTATCGTTTCCAAATTTGTTTCCCAATAAATTCTCCAAATAAAGGAAAAAAAATCAAAAAGTTTTCTTTAAAGACAAAAGTTTGTGTATTACATTTGGGAATAAAAATTGTTTAGATCAGCATCAACTATTCTTCATTGCAAAGTGGATTTCTCATGAACTCAGGGTTTTGGGAATGAAACCGTAAAAGGAGACTAAAGTTGATGCAGTGTAAGAACACTTCTCAAAACCATCTTGTGTTACATTGGTTATTTCAACGTCGGAGGTACTTAGCAAATGAATGACGTGTTATCATAAAAACTCAAATTCTACCTGACGGTATCCACTGAATATACACGCAAAGAAAGTTTTGAAGGAAATTAGGGTCATCGAATGTTTATCACTTACAGGAAACAAACCAAAGCTGTGCATTGCACACTAATTAGTAATTGATATTTACGGAACTTTGTACAATGATCACATGCGGCAAATTTCATATCCTCAGTTTGGCCTTTCTACGAGTTGGGTGCGGTTTAAGATAAGCCAAACTTCCTAGATTTTCAACATAGTCATAAACAATTATTTTCGTTTGCGCAGAAAGCATAATAAAGCTTCATGCAACATCTTTTAAGTTGATAAAACTTAAAATGGGTCAACGCTCAAGATTGAACAATTGTTTAAATAGCTCGATGTTTACTGCATTAAAGCTGAACTTTGTATTACGATCTGTTTATTGTTTTCGTTCCAGTCGAAGCTTAACTTAGCTGAGAAAAAAGGAAAACATACGCACGCAGTATCAATTTAACCGGAATCTCAGAGGTCTGTTTTAGAAACTCTTGTCATTTTGTTTATGATATCTGTTTTTGATCAGCCAAAACACAAATCCGCCGAAGCCAGGCAGTGCATGCAACAGACCTGGAGACACTTTGAAAACCAAAACACATCCGTCATGTCCCAATTGCTCAGTGTTAGGGAGGGTATACAGTCCATAAGGTCCTTCTTTATCTGATTGATGCAGACATCTCAGTTCATTTTAAGGGGGGCTCGTAGACCTTATGTCGACCTCTAAGATTGATGTATCCGATCAAGAGATAACTTTTCCCCTGTCAAGTTAACACAACTAAATATCATTGCGTTCTTTGTGGAGTTTATTTTGTTAAGGAGGTTTTTCTTGATGTCTAACGCAATTTTCTGGAGAAATTGGTGTTTTCGAGTGTTTTGACTTTTAAGTTGGAGATTTTTCCCTCTTTGTATTTCTATCGGATTTTATTTTGCCCAATTGTTTTTCCTCTTGTCACTGTATTGTCATCATTATTTTGCTACATCCTTTAACTAAATCAATCTTACGATCTAGTTTCAGAAAGAAGCGCTGTTTGGCTCCCGATGCCGACTCTGATACATCTCAAGTTTCCTTCGATTTTTACTCGAAAAAAAAAATTTGCTTTCAATCAGTGAATGGCGGTTAAGACCAAAAACATGTTTACTGAGAAGTCCCACGCCTAAAGAACCGTTTCCAATCACGTTACCTTCTTTCCTATAACAGAATACCCTTTAATGGTGTTGAAGCCTGAGGCATACTTTTTCGGAGTACGTTCGTGAAATTTCACGAGGTTGTTAGCGTAGCTTAGTAAGAGATTGATAAGAGTATGTCCCACCCCAGGTTGGTAAGTCAGTCGACTCCTGATTGTGATCGAAGGAATTTGCTCTTTTGAAAGATCTTTATTAGTTTTACGGTTTAAGAATTAAGCTGACATCACTCATCATTTTGGACCACACTGCCTTTCACTGCTGAGCTGTGGTATGGCTATGTAATAAACATTGCTGTGTATTTCTTGTGCTTTGTTTCTAAATGAATGCACACTATGGATAATTCTAAACCTTGTTAAGACAGCATTGTGATAAATTCCTACGTCCGTGTTCGAATACACATTCCTTTACCTGAATTTTACCAAATCCCTTCGAATATCTGTCGCAATAAAATTAATGATTGTTTTTCTATTGTGTTCCTGCTGAATTCCAGTTCATTTTCAGCACATTCCACCTCTGAAATCCATATTCCCAAAATGTTGGAATGTAACCAATTTGATCCGATGGAAGAAAAATCACAATTTGCCTCTCAATAGTTAAAGTTTTAATGTATTGCAAGGTAGTATCTCTCATCAGTTTTCCCGAAACGGTTTGTACAGTAAGTTTTGAGGGCAGTTTCTTTTTGTTACAGATTCATGAAATAAATAAACTGAAGGCTCCAGTTTGCCTTTATCGCTGTGTTGTTTATATTTGGTGAGAATCTCTTTTTCTGAGCAATAAATATTACGATGTGATGCGTGATGCCTCTTCAAACAGGAATCCCGACACACGGAGAATTCAAAGCAAAGCAGCTAAAGCGACCTATAAGTGATAATCTTAGGTTTAAACGCTTCCGCGACCTCGCATTTCACACGCCAGTCTATTCGGTTCTAACTTTAGCGGTTGTAAGAATAATCCTTGTTAGCAGAGGAAGAAGCGATGTTAGATTGTCGACATATTCGGCTCAACATTAACCTTTGGCAAGTAACTGCTTTAAGCTTTATGGGGGACTATTGTGTCGCCGCTAAATTTCATAGCGTCATAAATCACTGCAAGTGTCGTATACGAGTGTCGAAATGAGATGTATTGTGTTTCTTGGCTCCACACCCGAAAAGGCTATTGTCCCATAATCCGAAGTTCCCAACTCCTCGAGGTTTTGAGTTTTGGCGTCACAATCGAAGCTAGAAAGGGTCAGCTGAAGTTGTTTTACAACAGGAGTTAAATCCAGAATGGTTGTTACATTTATCATCTTGCTATGTAGGTGAAAAAGAAATGAATGAGCCAAAAGAGCCAAAGCAGGTAACTGGGAGATTCGTGAATTCAATGGAGGTTGAGTAATACTGCCTCGCTTTTGATAGCAACTCAAGGAATTTGGACTTTTTAAACCGCCTCCACAATGCACTCGTTCTTTGAACGATATAATTGATCACCTAAAAACAAGCTTTTGATACTCAGTAAGAAATGATATGATTACTCAGTTTGGCTTCTGAATTCTAAAACTAGAATGCACAATTATTGAAAGAGTTGCTTTCGAAACAACTACTCACCGCAAGAAAAACACTCATTTATCAACCTTTCTCACGAGTTCCTCCCTGAAACAATCCATCACAGCTTAAAGAGATAAAAGCTTGATTGCCAATCTTCAGCTCTTTGACGTAGATGAATAGTTTCGCACCTTCTAAGTTTATAAATCATTTTGAAAGGTATTGGTCACATTTGATTCATCTTACCCGACCGATATGCAATCTGCCGCAAGAAGATAACACGAGAAAGTTGGCATAATTTCATTCGGTTCAATAAGTCAGTGGTGCTCTTTTCTACCAAATTTGGCTTGATTTTTTTAGTTATGTGCTTTCATTTGAATTTAGACTGTAAGAATACATAAGTGATACGAGGAAAATCTAATTGTGACAGAGGAGTCTGTTCACAGACCATCTCTCCTCTTGAATCGTGGTCCTAAAAGAAAATACTTGTCATATGCTAGTTTGCTTTGAAAAAACTAACTCAGTAAATAAATCTTGAAATATCCTCTGGAAGTGACAATGGATTAAACAAAATTTTTATCTATGTGTTATTTATTTCCATGTACACCAACAGCTAAACTTGACAAATATGTAATATTTACAACCCTTCGTAATTTTAGCTATGAACGATGCTCTGGTTTCCTGTTTTCCTGTTTTATCTTTTGACACCGTCTTGCATAGAGTACGCATGCTAGATTTAAGGAAATTATTCATTGATAAACCAATCAAATTCGAGTGGAAGAAAGCAAACGAAAGGCAGGCAATTCAATTTTAAACCACGCAAGAATTTTAAAACGCAATATCCGGAGCTTGTCCCTGACCTTTTATTCGACAGTAAAGCCGACCGACTCAGTGAAGTTGGATAAGTAGACAGCCAGTTGATTTATCGTTCATTTAGCATCTTACTTTAGATGTGTCACTGCATTCAGTGATTTATGAATGCGGCCGGCACAGTCTAACCAGAGTATTTAACCTCGAGACAAATCATGTTATTTAAGCAGATTTCTTCAACAGATTCATTAAAAAGGCCAACAAAAGAGACGCAAGCCATCCACTACAAACTCAACGAGTAGTCTCTCTAATCTCTCATAGGAGAGAGTCGCTTTTAAATAAAAAAATTTCCGTACTTGAGGCAGAAAATTCATCTGTCAAATTTCAGGTGTCTGTTAGGGAAAATGCGGGTATTGAAGAAAACGGATTCTCGAAAAGCGTATACAAAGTGAACGCTTACTTGTGTTGTGTTAGGTGGATTATACACATGTAAGACTGCAGAGTGCCGGAAGAAACCTGAATGTGTCAATTGAACCACCTTGTGAGACATTAAATTTCCAAACGTTTGCACAATCGGCTCACTTGCTTATTGTCCATAATTTTCGCTGCTTGAACGTCGCTTTTGAGCTCCTCAAGATCCCGTCGAAATTTCGCCCTTCTGTTCTGGAACCATGTGATTACTTGTGCACCAGAAATTCCCAGAGAGTGCGCAATTTCGTCTCTGTCTGAAGGAGATAGGTACTTCTGGTACACAAATCGTCTCTCAAGCTCAAATATCTGTTGATTCGTAAAGCAAGTTCTTGCTTTTCTCCGTTTTCTGGCGTTGAGTCTTGCTTGAAATGCCATCAGCTTTTGCTGAAGGTTTCTTGAAGCTATAAGATGGTAATGGCATCATATCATTAATCACGCTACTGAATTTTATCTAACGCACAAAAAGTCGCTTTGTTGAAGGAATAGAAGAAAAAGCAGAGAAAAGAAAATAAGCACGCTTGAGTTATGCAAATCGTAAGTAAACACCAATGCTGAAACTAGCTTTCGATTGCTTCAAAATTGCTTCAGGGTCACTGAGTATTTGTTCAAGGCTGCGCAAGCAGATTTGTGGCGCTAAACGGTTGAAATTTCAAGACGTGTTTACTAGAAGGAAAGAAATAGATTTTTTTAATCTAATACTCGTACTAAAGCTTCGTGGCTTTTGCCTGTGAGGTAAATAACGCCAGGAGTTAAATCTCACCTATTTCGGCGGTTTCTGGTTCTTTAGATTTATCGTCCGGTAAATTACTACTTGTAAAGTCCTCCAGAGTTAAAATAGCTGGAGGTGATTCCATAGAGGTTCCTTGTGATGACCAATGAGACACTTTCCTTGTAACTGGTGAATGTTTCTTCGGATGCGGGGCGCTAAGAATTGCTTCGATAGAAAATGGCAACACTCTGTTATTGGTGGTTTTGTCACCATGTCCTGATTTTCTCTCATTGAAGTTGTCCTCGCCTACAGAAGACGAATCATTCCCATTCCTGTGCGTCTCCATTGTGAATAGTATCTTTTAGTGAAAGCCGGTCGAAGCGTAGACAAATGATGGTTTGATATCTCGTGGCACAGTAAAAGAAGGAGAGGTAGCTCTGTAGCGCCGCGAGCCTTTGATTCGTAACCCACCGAGCACAAGCCACCTCTGAGTATTCACCCAGCCTGCGGATGCGTCAATTAAATTATACAGCTTGTGCGAAATTGATGACTAATTAATTAAAGTATTTACCTAACCCAACGACCAATCAGCTTTCGAGAGCGCATGGAGTAATTCAATTAGCGCGACAGCCCGTCAAAGTTGGATACCGAAGATAAATTGAATTAAACTGTCAACGCTATCACAGTAACCTTGTTAGGACAAAGACAACATTTTAGAAGCTGCCAAATCACATTTGTATATAAGTGGTTTGAGCAATTATCTCGCAAAACACGAGTTTTTGAGTCAACAGCTTTTAGACCATACGGTCCTGTTATTTTCCTTTGAAAAACGCGAAATGATATGCGTGTTTCTTTATGCGGATTAGGTTACACGAATGGAAAAACTACTCTATAGTGTTATCACGCGCCCAAAGAAAAATTATCTCTAAAATCTCCTAATTAATTTCGCCTTTTGTCTTTTCATTGACGCGATATCCCAAAGAAACACGCACCTTAGAGAGCATTCTCTTTGTTGCCACAATTTGACACGCATTGCCCGCATTCTTTACCCAGAGTTAGCGACGACCCTATTAAGCTCCTAAAATTTGTGACATTTTAAAACGAAAGCTATTAGGACCCGCTTCGCATGGCTCCATGTTTGCTCGCTCAGTGTCTTCAGCATTCCGTGCGTTAAAACGGCTCTTGAAATCCATTTGCTAATTGGTTGTAGTATAATTTAGCAAAACAAGCCTTTGACAGTTCCTTTAAGAAAATATTCTATTTCTTTTGTTTTTTAACTTAGCTGGTAAAAACCGTTATATCAGCTGTAGTTAGCAGGCAATGTTGTAGACATCTGTACAAACTGTAGACGAACGACTGCTTTTAATACCATTAACAATGATTAATGTCCCCTTTAATCTTCTCCGATTCGTTTATTTTTGAAAATTGAATTTCAAAGTCAAGAAGTCTAGAAAAAGAATGCTCTTCTTTAGAGGCTGTAATTGATAAATATTTCTTCTATTCAACAAAAATCTTTAAAATTCAAAATCGTTTTATAGTAAAAAAAAATCCCATGCCGTCGTGTTTTTTTCCCCAGTGCACTGCAAAGGTTTGAATCCTTAAAAAGATATGACTCATTTAGTTACATCTGCATTGTTAGTGAGTATTTTACTTCTTTCTTATAGAATTTGAACTAAAAACTTGGGGAGTGGGTAATTTCTAGCAATTGGACCGAAAGATGTGCATTTCCATTGGTCCAGGTTTTTAACGGAGGGGCAGCTGAAGAAAATTTGACGGTAGCATGAAATAAAGACGTAAATTGCGTAACCAGGGTGACTTTTGAACACGATGAAAATGAGAATTAAGTTTTATTAGATATGCTGCTGTGCTAAAGTAGGAGAAATTGACAAGAGGATCAATAATTTGACCCTGTAATACGCAGAAATTGTTTCGCTGTCTCATGTCAGTAGGTCGTAAAGTTTTGCTGCACAATGTGAAAAAGCGAGATATTGACAGCTTGAAACATAGAGATAGACGTTGTGAAAGTGTTTTCGGAAGTATAAAAATACATTCGCGAACAAAGCAATTTTCACACTTCTAGCCCTGACGACTAAGGGCTTTCTTTCCTCGAGCCAAATTTGTCGTGGTGACAAACTCATCAATAACATAAATTTACCCCACCTAATAATGCCGGTTCAGGAGGTATTTGTTCTCGTCAAATCAAGGTTAGGTAGGTTTTGCGCAAGGATTCCGCTTTACTTCGTAAAAATTGAAACTGATCAAGAAGAGAGGTTTTTTAAGCCTTTAAAATGATTCCAATGATGTATGAAGGACAAAGACAGTCTTCGGAATTGCATTTAAGGCAAGTTTATATGGCCAACGTGTTTTTTTGGGTTTTTTTTGTTCTTTAGACACAATGGTCTGCAGATCAATTTCGTGGTCACCTTAAAACTTCCTCAGCTATAAGCTAAATTTCGGTTTTTTAATGTTCTCATCCCATCCGTCTTTATCTATTTCTAGTTGCTCGAAGCAACAGACTCCATTTGTGTTGGAGAATGGTAATATCTTCTTGTTGAAGAGTAACATCCCTATACGATGAAAAAGCGTTTCGTCCAGTGCTTACATCCAACGAATGCTCCCAAAATTTATTGCGTCCGGTCTTCGCGCCTTTCTGAAACAGGAAGCGTTGTTAGTAAATTGAAGGCTAATCACCATTTTTGAATGACACTGTTAACCAGTATGACAATCAAAACCTTTCTTACTAAAAAGTTCCCACAGTGATAAAAGAAATACCTCATTTTTTACAGGTATCTGCCATGAAAAATTTTGTCAGCGTCGCCGCTTCCTATCAACACCCTAAAAAGAACGCATGAGAAGAATTTGCTCGTGAGAACGTAAACTGTAGTGTCGACTGAGTTTGAAAACTGTTTAACGTCTGACCCCCGTGAAATTACACAAGTCAATATCAATTACCTTTCTGCTGACAAATTAAATGAACGGTTCATCTCAACAGGTCGATCTTGTGCGCCCACAAACATCGTATTTGGCGACGCTGATAGAATGGCAGACACAATCTCAAACAGCGTCTTTTTCACTAGTGAACAAACTTCAGCCGTTTTACCAAGGTGCTCACCCTTTATCGATAGAAGCGACTTACTTGAAAGACGTCTACGAAGGAGACTATTAGAAAAAGACGAAAAGGGAGTCCACGCAACAATGATTTTTTTGGGCTCTCAATGGGGGAAAATCTGAAGGAAAACTACAGATCTGTGGGAGCTGCTATTTTAAATTATGGTAAATTAACTAAGAGAAAAAGAAAGCAGAAAAAGAGCTCGACTTAGTCGAGCTTGAACAATATCATGCGCAAACTTGCTTTCAAGGACTTTATCTCAACATTTACCCAAAGAGGCGTTTCGCCGCTTGATTCAATGCACGAATTTTTAGAGACGCGAAGTTGTGTTATTTCCCCCTTTTTAGCCTATTAGCACTATCAGTGTTTTTATTCGAGGAATAGCACGTTTTCCTGGATAATTTACATAGGTGTTAATGCCTTAATCTTGTGAGGGGGGTAAAAATCAAGGGGCGTGTCCAACACTTCATTACTTTTTCCTTCCGTTGGTCTTGTAATAAATAATTGCATGCGGGAATTTCTGTAATTTCTACCGTCCTATTTTTCCTCTCTCAAACTTTTCTAACGAAATAAGCAAGAAAATACGAGATCAACAAACTTAGCAAAGCATCTAAGTTATTAATTTATGCTTCGTCAACCGTGAAATTTATTGTTAATTTGAAACGCATCAAAATATTTCGCGGATCTGCAGTGTGTCATCCCCTTAGTGGTTGCCGTTGTTGCGATAGGACTGGTACTTTATGATGCCCAGGGTTTCTTTAGAAGTCAGTGAAAGCCGACCACACTGATGCGGGCACCAAGTATAATCAAGGAACGACTGGATTCTCACAGGAAACCCACTCTGAACTTTTGCTCGAAAACCGACTTTTTTAGGTATCCAACTTGGCTGTTGCTTTTGTAATCGTTTCTTTTTTTATGTAGACCTTGTCGCGGATTTTCACAACAGAATTTGTAGAATTGGAGCTAAGATCCTGGGTTATGAATAAAAACTAGATCGAACCTTTAAAAGTTTTTTTAAAAAACTGAACTAACGATCCTGGATTCTAAGCTAACTCTATGGTGTATTAGACAGGATAATTGCTTCATTTTAAATCTCACTCGCGGCGATAAGTATTTCCTGGACCCCAGGATAGTCCAGGAATCGAGAACATCTGGTTAACTTCTGAGAATTTTGCAGTCAGCGATGCGTTGGTCCTCATCTGCTTTTCGCATCCTTTTATTGCTTGCACTGCTGTGTTCAAAGTAAAGCATGAGCAGCGATGCCACCAACTGGCTGACAAAGTAGGCATCACTAAACCGATAAACGACCCGGACAGCACAGTTGGCATACCTCCAGCTGTGCTGGTCAACTGAAGGCCAGAGTGGATTTACCAAACTTCTCCCCGAGGCTGGCAGTATTTTAGGAAATCGGATCTGCGATTCACAAGGTTTTTGATTTAGCACCAGTTAGGGGGATCATAGGGAGACAGGTATTTTCTTCACTCAGACTTGGAACGGTAGGCGTCTTAAGCCTTCAAAGCCGCCTCCCTTCTGCTTGACTATGTTTGTCGGGTGAATAAAGGGGATAAGTTTCTAAAGAATCTGGTGCTGCGTCGGTGGGAGAGTATAACTGGGTAATTGAGAATTATCAACGAAGTTGATGACGTAAATTGGCAACCGTAAAGAGTTTCAGAGTTGACGTTTCGAGTGTTAGCCCTTCGTCAGAGAGAATGGAGGAATGGTGGGTTGTGTGTGTGTTTATATGCAGAAAATAGAGCTACGCCCATGGTGGGAATTAGGCGACGAGAAAACAAGAATAAATTAGTTGAATGAAAAGCGCGCATTTGATACCTTGGGGTTGGAGAGTGCCGATTTCAAAGATAAATTTTTTTAGTTTTGTGGCTTTCCGAACTACCTAGATGAAGGGAAAGGCCACAAACTGCCATATGCTGCTTAGCACGATTTGGGAGATTAAAGCGTGTAGCGACTGGTTTGAATGCGTCCTTGTCATTTCTTTCCACTTCGCTAAGGTGTTCACGGAATTGGTCATCTTTTCGTCTTCCTGTTTCACCAATGTATAAATTTTTGCAAGTGCAAGTTATGCAATAGATGACATTGGTCTAGGTGCACGCGAAGTGATCAGTGATCTTAAGGGATCTATCGAGTCCCGATATATTCTCTCCGCTATAAATGTAAGAACAACTTTTGCATCGTGAGCGAGCGCATTTGAAAGTTCCAGGTTGGTCATTAGTTTAAAATGAACTTCTGACCAAAAAGTTACCTATGTTTTTGTTACGTTTGAATTAAATTATTGGAGGTTGCGAAAAGATAGTACCAGTCACTGAATCGTTTTGAAGTAATTTAAAGTTTTTTAGAATGGTAGATTTAACTACGTGGTTGTGAGGGTGAAATGTGAGAGTGAATGGAGTGCGATCGATATTTTCCTTTTGTGCCGTTTGTAGCGCTTACTGTCGATCAATTTGTTGGCCGGTGGCAGTGGCCCGCTTGAACGACAGAAACGGGATAGCTTCTTATCGAAAACCTGGCGCATTACCTCATATTTTTCCAAAAAAAACTGAGTTGTCACAACATATACGATGAAGTCTAAGAAACCGTGAAAAGGTATGTGTAGATGAGTACAACAAGTAACTGTGTGAGTCTGTAGGTTTGTAGCAAACCCTAGGGCATAGAACGTTGCCTTTGATTGAAATTTTGATGTCTAGAAAAGCCAAAGAAGTTTTGGATATTTCCTAGGTATATTTCAGAGCCGGGTGAAAGGAATTGGCGGCAGTTATAAATTGAGTGAGCTCCTCTCTGGTAGAGTGGCCGTAGTGCCGATGAAGTCGTCAATGTAGCGATTGTATTGACTGAAAAAGTGGTGTTCGATAAAACCTATGAATTGATTGGCGTAACTGGTTCCCATTTTGGAAAAATGTTTGACGGGGCTTTGTCTTAAGTCACTCTTTTAGCATCCATAGAATTCATGGTGAATTCTGCAGCAATTCATAGTTCATGATCGAGCGATCGATTACATATTTTCTGGGATTTTTTGGGAATCTTTGGGCTCATTTGTTTCGTTTGACTTTTTCATTTGATCAGATGCTCTTGGATCCTCCCCATTTTCCAGTTCACAAGAAAGAAAAAAATCATCACATCATATTGGTAGTAATATTGATGTTAAAACATACATACATACATACATACATATATATATTAGTTTGTATTTTGTCAAAAATCCCTGGATCGTAATAAATTTGCGTGGTTGCAAAAACCAACCAACGGGGACTTAGCAACTGAGTAATTGACTGAAATCAACTGGATTCCCAAAATGACTAACTGAACTACGTGTATCGACGAAAGAAACGAAGATTAAGTAATGTTGTGTAATTATCTTTGAGCACAAATTACTGTTCACATTTTTTGTCTCTCTTTCCTTCTCTTAGTGCCTTAATCCTTTTTCAAAAATAAAAGGCAGTCTATGACTGCATGCACCTACTGTACAGGGACTGTAAGGGCAGTAAAAAGGTAATGTTGTGTAAAATGCAGAGGGTTTTATGAACAGCTCTTGTCAATGCCAAATTTATTACAAAAGGAGGACTTGGTCGGAGCAGAGTTTGTACATTGGTCAATTAACGGGCCAGGGATAGGGCAGGAAATTAATAGACAAGGTAAATGTATTTAATGTGCCGCGCATCAAATGTATTTCTATAAAAACGCAGTCACTACGTACGCTCTGCGTACCTAGCGCAATAATGATTCGACTCTTTTTTTTTCCCTTTTTTTTTTGCTTTTCCTTTTTTCCTTTTCAATTAAATTCTCCTTCAAAGGATGAGTTAGATATGTTCCGTTGTACAGTTGAAACCCTGAAGAAACACCGAACTAAACCCCATAAAACCAAAAATGAAACCCAGGAAACCAGATAAGATACGTTCAACGATGGCCATGGCCAGTGTCGGAGATGAACTAGGACGAGTCAATAGAGATGTTACGAGCGTCTCAAGATAGTCCGCCATTTTGTAAACTGCAAGGGGCTTGAGGGAAGGTTTACCGCCTTACACAACATTATAAAATAGTGCCCATTGCTTCCTAGAAGGAAGCAGAGTAGATACAAAATTTGACGTCTTTCAAGGGCGCTCTTCTTTATGGCCTCGTTCCCACAAGGTCTAATGAAGCCTCGTTTTGATTATTATTGCCATAGAAACACATTCTGCCACAAAGATGGCGGACATTCAAGTGGAAAGGTACGGTCATGTGGGAAATAATGTCTTTTCTGGAACGCCATCGCCTTTACCTCGGCCATATTTACCGTCCTTACCACCTGCGAAAACCATCAAGCCTTCTTATTCAAGGTCAAGATCCATGATTTGTTTACTAGTGCTTTGGAATTTATCAACGGCGGCATAGTGATATCTGCAGTGTATCCGGTGGCGCACAGCCTCGAAGCAGTTATGATTTGCCGTTATGAACTTATTTTATCTCTATTTCTTTCTTCTTTCCAGATTTCTCATCGAGGCACCGTTTTCAGCCCTAGCTGGTGTGGTTGCAGATGCAAGAGATCCTCCTAAGGTTAGCTTCTTAGAGCGCGCTCACAACAACCTATAATTTACATTGGTGCCAATTTAATTGATTAATTCCCTTAATGGCCAAACATTGGCTTTGTTTTCATTGGATAGATCATGATTTTCGGCACATGATTAAAAAAGCTGAATATCTTATCTGATCTTTTTTAAATTTACGGCTCAAGAATTTTCTTTTTATATCTGTATTTTTTTTATTGTTATTATTACCACTTCGATCGTTTAAACATTGGTCGATCTGTGTAATTGCCCCAAAGTCTAATGTGGAGTGTGAAATATTTGAAAATTTAAAGTTCTGTTGAATTACAAGATAAATGAAGAATCTTAAACGAAAACAAGTATTTGCCAGTATAACTTAATATGCTGTAATCCCTTTGTAAGAGTCATATAGGCGGTTGTATTATTGAAAATGAGCTTCTTTTGTACATGGAATTATACTTCAATTAATGTTACATCTTTAATCAAAACTGTAACAAAATTTTTGAACGTGATTGGTTATCACCAGCCTGATTTGAGCACTAATGGGACAGTGTATGTGTCATACTTGTAATTGGACAGTGTAATAGGACCGTTACAGGGACAGTTGACAAGTCATCCTTATGTAAGAGAACAGAATGTGTCATGGGCGTGCGCTGTTTTCTTACATTTTGCCAAGTTAATTGTGGTTTCTTTTTTTATGAAAACATATAACAGACATCTAGTTTGACCTAGTTTCTTTCTTGAATTTTGTCATAGTTTTTATTCATTGGTAACAGGACTTTGTGTCATCTCATTCTGTTGGTAATCATACATGTGATTCACAAATTGGACTCCCGCTTTGTGGTTGTCTGCTTTTTTCTATCACTTGTATGATTACAGACTGAATTTGACTCCACTTGGTCTTATTACCATTATATATTACATGTCTAACAGATAGATTCCATGTTGCTGTGCTTCTGTTCAGGAGGAGATCATAGAAAAAGTATAGAATGATGAGGCAACGACTAAAAAATGTCACCCAGAGCAACATAGAATCTTCTTGTTTGATTGATATAGGAGCAAAAATATGTGTCTGTCCTCCAAGAGATCTTAAGTAAGAACCAATCAAAATGATGTATGGTTTAGCTTATCAATTAAAGGTGTATAGATAACAGTATAAGTACACAGTATTAAATACAGTTCAGTTTGAATTAGTCAAGTATCAAGGGTGTACAAATTTTGTATGTTGTTGTAGTGAAGGTATTTAAAGTTCCAGTTCCTTTCTTCCTTATCTCAGCCCCCTATATTGTCACGCAGTAGACACAGAATTCAAGTTGGATGCACCAACCGCTGGAGACTTCCAAATATGCTTGGCAGTGATCTTTTGGGCTCATCACAAGCTCTCAAGTCTGTTACAAGTTCTTATAATGATACAATAAGGGCAGTCATGACTGGTAAGCTTAAAGTGGATTAATGCTTTTCATTGATTGATAGCAATTTACACCCACCTTAAGAAACAACCTCCTATATATATATCCAACATCGAAACATTGGGTCTATGAATTGTTACTTCTTTGGTTACATTCATAAAATCTGTAAACTAGAGTAGCATCAAACCATATCTGATTGTCCACCTGGTTGCCGTGTGAACTTTAATATATTTTAAACCTCTTATATGTAGGTGCATGTCCAAATTTAGAAAATTCCATGCTTAAAATGCTCAACACATTTTAAAAATGTATTTATGCTGGTTTATTCTTATCTGTGTTTTTACCATGCAGTTTGGTAATGCATGGAACATGTTTTTTTTTTATGTGATTTTATTTAGATAGACAATAATTTGTCATTCCAAGGTACATGTGGGGCATTCAAATAATTTTGATAAATATTTGGATGACACAACATTGAGGATTTGACAGACTTATGAACAATAACAGCTGTATGAGTGAACAACTAATCATTACTCAATTGAAAGTATATCAAACTTGTTTTGAATGAGTTGAATTATTGTTAAATGTTCACCTTGTTCTCTTTCTTCAATCAGTGGACATTAATTATTCATGAAGACTCTTTTAAGAGAGTATTATGAAATTAAATTTAGAACTGCTCAGCTACCTAGGCTGGGAGAGAAATTTATGGCAGATTGGTAACATTTTGGAACTGAATCATGCATTAAAATTCCATTGGCTTGAGTTAAGAATTAATGAGCAAATAAGGTTGGAGAGAATTTTTTACAATGCTTTGTTCTTGCATTATAATAGACACTCTGCATGAATAACTGAACTCTGTGCTAGTGACTTAAAAAAAAAGTTTCTTTTAAATCTGATTCAGTGAATGGAGATGTACATGTAGATGATGTTGATAGCAAAGATACTTGCTTGTGAACTCAATGGTTTGAAACTTTAGAGGAACTGACGACAGATGCATGTACAGTGTTCATGTAACTTCCAACCTTTTAATACGTTTCAGAATTTCTTATCTTATTGGATTTTTTTCTTGGACACTTAGACACTCCAGAAGTCAGTAGACCAAATATTTATATTATTGTCATGATTTGATATCATGTGACATTTTGATACTTAGAATGTTTATCTATAATAGGAGTAGCTCAGTTAACTTTCTCTTGGCAAAATCATTTTATTTTAATTAACTGTTGTGTTTTTCAATAACTACAAAAGCTGACTGTCCAATGGCCACATGCAACCATGCAGAGTTAGGTGGAGAAAGACTGTACAGGAGTGCAATACATTCCCTGATTTCTCCCAGATTTCCTAAGTCACAGTCAGCACTTGGTGGAAATGGTACTAAGGAGTTCGATCGTTGCCTTATTCGTTCACAACCAGCCTCAAATTCTGGATCGACAAGGTTGGTGTATTTTGCATGTGTGCAAAGTCCATCTCAACCTTTCTTTTAAAATTGGCTATAACTGTATACATGTGTGGTTATTCAACTGAGAAGTACAGCTTGAAAGTTCCTTCACAGATCCCTATATTACTTACTGATAAAATTCTTGAGGATTCTTGCAAATATTTTGACCTTGAGGATCTTAAAGGATCCTTACACATCTCTTGTAACTATCTTGACAAAGATCCTTGTTAGATCCACATAATATCTTTGACAAGCAAATATCTTGAGAAGGTCTTTGAAAAGAACCCCTTTAAGATCTTTTCAAAGATCCTTGTTTTGTTCTGTAGGATCTTGAAGGATCCCTAGGAGAACTTTGCTAGGATTTTTTTTTATGATCTGTTTAGGATATTTGGAGGATCTTATCATAACAAATGATTTTGCATATATTAAATATCTTTGGGATCTTTTAAAGATCTTTGGGATCTTTTAAAGATCCTTGTCTTTAAGGACTTTTTGAAGCTCCTTGACAGTACTCACAGATCTTTAAGATCATCTGATATATCTCCAGGGATATGTCTTTAAATGTAAGTTTCAGTAAATTGAGATAAAGTTTTAAGAAAGAGATAAAAGACCTGTAACCAAAGCATTTATAGGCCCTGTCAACATTGATTTGGTTGTAGGGGGAAAGAGTGGAAAAGTAGAAAAAATTTCAACTTTTAAAACTGAAACTGCAAAACTTAGAGGAGTTTCCAAATTTTATAAATGTAATGGTCTCTTATCTATTGTTTTTAACTTTTGAAATACCTCAAACTAAGGTTTAAATAACTTTCATTGAGTATTAGTAACAATTATTAACTTACCAAGACAATGTGCAAGGGTCTTGTCAAATTTTGGGGTATGAGACTTAACTACAATTTCAAAGCTCCACATTAACACTTGGCTAAATTGATAGACCACATGTCAGGAGTAAGACTGCAGGAGGGTCTCAACATTTAAGTCATGCTACATGCAGATTCAGTTCCTAAACTTTGAGTAGTATTAAGGGACAATTATTTTGGTATTTTTTCTCATTTAAATGACACTTTAATTATTATATCCTTATACAAATATAAGATTATTGTAAGATTGATTTTTATTATTTAAATGTTATTATTAGAAACACAAATGGACACACTGGACTTTCTTCATTTCATCTCCAGCAAATTGACTACCAAAGAAATGTCATTCCACCAGCAATGAGATCCCCTACTCCAATGGAATTGTTTTTGTGCAGGTCTCAAACTGCTGGGCTTCATAAAGTACCAGGTTCTGAAATTAACAGTAATATTAAGTCTTTTTTCATCTATTGTTGTTGATGTTGTTTTTAATTTGTATTGAAAATTGTTCACAGACTTTGTTGTGAAGCCTCAAAATGACACAGTCCTATTGAGGTTTTCCTTGACTGTTTGATAAATAAGGCTTTTTCTAGCAAAGTAAAGATTACACCCAAGTAAGAAAACAACTTTGGGAGCAGCAATGTAGCCATTGATAATCCTGATAGTCACAATTGTTTACCTTGTAGATGTCATAGTTTATGCTTTGGATACTACTTGGGAGCTCCATAAACCTTATCTTCAAAAGTCTTCCATGCTGAGTGCACTACTGAAAAAAGCAGAAATGACTGGCATGAGAGACATAGAGGAAGAGAAGGAGGAGGATGAAGCATTAAGTCCTGGAGAAATAGGTCTTTATTCATTGAAAATGATAAGTTAGTGTGTTGCATTCAGTGTCAATTAAAACTGAAAGGATCATTGAAGGACTGACTAATTAACCGTGCTGCATGTTTGGTCAAAAATATTTTATCTGGGGTCAACAGCCAACTAGGTTATTTTGAACATTTTCAAGAACACAAAGCGCAATATAACTTTTTGATATAATTTTTGAAAAAGGTTCATCAGAAGGGTCCTTTAGGAAAAATATATAGAATTATGAAATTATGCCACTGTTGACAAATTCTCAATATTTGCAGTAGGTTCCTCTTAACTCACAATTCATAAAGTGTAATTAAGGTGAGGATGGCTTGATTATGGCTGGTTCATTTTGAGTCCCTGAACATGGTTTAGGGAAATTGCTGTCATTGCTGTGGTCTTTTAAAAGACTACAGCAAAATATTTTGATTTTTAATTAGTTTCTTTAAAGTCTTTGAGACTTTCAGTTGCTTTTACTTTTTGTGACTTCATACCTCTCAAATTTTTTGGAAACCTTTCCCTTGTTTGACTGAAGTTCCCTGAAATATGAAAATGGCATCAAAACAAGCTGAAACTATAAGGAGGATATTCCCACAGAGGTCTACCATATTTCTTCACCTATAATCCGAGACCCTAAAAGTTAGAGACCTTCCAACAGACCTGTATTATCCAAAAGAAAAAGAAAAACCATGGGCTATACGCTGAGAGTGAAATTCTTGATTGTAACTGGCCATTTGAGTGAGCGAACCCCATGGAAAACATTGGGAAATGGCTCACTGAACACAAAAGCTAATGAATGAGAATAAACAATAAAGGAAAAAAGCAAATTGGTGAAGATGTAAATACCACTATAGGACTGCAGAAATGCAATAATACTCTCAGTTACTGTAACCTGACAAATGTTTCAATTGAGTATCTCTTTTGTGACTGTTATTTTTCTCAGCATGCCAAAAGCATGCCACTCCTCATGTACTATGGTTTTCAGTAAAAAAAGTTATTGCGGAAGTTTAAGCTGTAGAAAACAACTCAGAAATGGTGCAACACTGGAGAAGAGACCAAGTGACTATTCTTTCTGGTGAGCTTAAGATGTCTGCAAAACATCCAAAAAATGGGCTGTTTCACTGCCAAGTATTTTGAACCAAGCGAGCAAGTGTGCAGTGGTTTTCAGAGCAGAGAAACCAAATATTTTATTTGTAGTGTGAAATGAGAAGAGTTTTGCCGAGTTTAGTGCAATTGTCTTTCAATGTGTAGGAAGCAAAAAATCTGATTGGTGGTCAGAAATAGGTTGTTGTCATGACAATTTTAACAGAGCACTGCAGTACTTTGAATTTACATTCATTTTACATTAATATTGAATTTGCAATTGTTTTTGAATCCCAAAGCCTCGGCTATAAGCTGAACCCCATTTCTCATGAAAAAATCTCCCAAACTTTTGTGTTAAATACTGAAAAAAATTGCTTGGCTTATAGGTGAAGAAATACTGTATCTTGCTTTCATGAGTAGCCAATAAGAATATACTGTGGGATTGGCTTTGTCTTGCTAGCCTTTTGAGCTCTTATTTCTAATCCATAATGGTATAATAAATCATACAAGTTAATAGGAAAGTGAGCTGTGTGAGCAGTCTGCATATACATGCAAGTACAGTGACTATGCTGAACCAGCCCTTATCAAAATTTATGACTGAGTGTACACTCAGTGAATTATAATTTGCTAATAATGTCCATTTTACAGTTGAAAGTAATCTAGATGCCTTAAAGACAGCTGCAAGCTCAGCAAACATGGATCCTTCTGCTGTGACATCAGACATGTCAGTTGGAAGAAGCCGCTACAGCAGTGAGTGGTACAAGAACCAATTGACATTCACACTGAGAGTCAGGGATCAACTCATCACTAAACAAAGTTAGTAAAAATTATAATTGGGTAAAATGACAAAGTTGTGTTGTGGCATGTTTTCATTTTACTGGTATGAGGACATATACACTGTTCATGTACCTATGCATGAGGTGATGCATGAATTGATAAAATGATTTCTCATCTACAGTGTACAGTATGCATTTTTACATTTTTATTTGGGGATGGTCAATCCCTTTATTTTCATTCCTTAATAAAATCAACTTTTCTCGTTAGTAAGGGGCTATTGTGTTTATATAATAAACAAAATAATACATGGTTGCCGGTAGATACGGAATTTCTCTTCTTGTGTTCAATTAACGTCTCACTTGTTTTTTGTGCTCTCTCACAAGTTATTGAGTTAAACACAAGAGAAATTCCATATCAATGTGCACCCATGTATTCTTCTCTATTTATTATAAATGCTCTGATGATTATAGAGATTTACATGCTCTGATTGGTCAAGGATTGTATCAAAATGGCTACCTGACATTTTTTCAATGTTACTGAGGTGATATATGCAGTATAGAAGAAAATGCTGCTGGTATGTCTTATCAAGCATCTTATCAAGTGACACCATTATAAACAGTTGGACCATTTTATCTAGTATGATAATTAAAACAGATTGGACCATTTTAAGCAATTGAACATTTTTTTTTTTAGTTAAACCATTTCTACCAATTGGATCATTTTCTTAAGTTAGACTGTTTACTACCAGTTGGACCATTTTATGTTTAACTAAACCATTTCAACTGGTTGGACCATTTTAACATGTTTGACCATTTTAACGGGTTGGATCATTTTAACAAGTTGGATCATTTTTGATTGGACCATTCAGTTCAGGACCACTTGGACCATTTTATTTAGGTAGAGAATTTTTGCCAATTGGACCATTTCAACCTGTTGGACCATTGTATCTATTTAGACTGGTTGGATCCAGCTGAACCAGTTGGACCTTATGAATTGGTTGGATAATTTTGACTGATTGGAGCATTGTAAACTGTTTTACCATATTAGGTGGTTGAACCATTTTCTCCAGTTAGACTACTTCTATCAGTTGGACTGTTTTCTCTATTTAGACCATTTACTACCAGTTGGACCAATTTCTCTAGTTGGACCATTTTACTTTGGAAAATCAGTTTAAATGGCTAGAGCATTTTAGCCAGTTAGACTATTCTCACTAGTTAGACCATTTCTACCAGTTGGACCATTTATTACCAGTTGGACCATTTTTTCATGTAAGACTCTTTGACCCTTTTTAATCAGTTGGGCTATTTTTGTAGTTGGACTAGCTAAAAGCTGGTTGGTTCATTTTAGCTGGTAAGGCTGTTTTAATCAGTTGGACCATTATATCCACTGCCTAATTTGTTAGGCTTTTTTTCTTAATAAGTATGTTGGCCAGGTCAGTTTGAATGTCTTAAAGGATCTATATTCTGTCATTGCTTTTAAAAGATGTTGCAGCTCCTTGAAGTTATGTAATATAAGGGATAACAACTTTTTTGGGGGGCTTCTGAACAATGACATGTCAGCTCTCACAAGGTGGTTTCTAGGATTTTGCCTAATCAAGGGTCAAATGTTGTGCTAATTTTCTTGTGGTCCTTTGTAGCCACTTTAAATTTCAACAGCACTTTACTTGACTCTGTCAACTACCTGATGCTTGAAATACATGTTGTTAAAATATTGTATTGTTTCTAAATCTGCAGCATTTGCTCTTGCTCTCTCTGCATTATATGAGAATGACAGTGAAATGAATGTAAGTGAGGCAGATGTTGTTGGTGTCTTGGCTGCTGCAACTTTCTTAGGATTCACTGCTTTGGAAAAATTGTAAGAATCATCCCTGTTTTTCTTTTTGTGGTAAAACTAAACTTTGTATAGCTCATTGTAGTTTTGTGTTTGAAATGACAAATGTTTTGAAGAAGTTATTATAAAACCTTAACATGAAAGAGCTTGTTCTGTATGATAATTGTGATTTTTTGTCTACATATTTGAGAAATTTGTGGATTTTTCCTGTCTCTAAAATGTCATATCTTTACTTTACTTAGTGAAGATACTGTTTTATTCTTCCCATATGAGGATTTTGATCAGCTGATTTTAATTTTGACTAACTGATTTGCAGCAGCTAATTAAATCCATTTAATCAAAGATCTCAAATTTGAGATAACAAAAGCTAAACAAACTCAACTCTGAAAAAAAGTGTCTATGAAAGTGCCTGCATCAAATTCCATGTCAAGGTTAAGTTCTCTCAGATCTCATGTGTCACATGTGAATACATAAAACATACATGTACCATTGGGGAGGGAAAGAGAAATTGAAATTTGAAACACACCCACCAAAACTTAAGAAAATTTCAACACTCCACATAGGAGTTGCCAGTTATGCTGTCTTGAATTAGACATTTATGTATTTCAGGTGTGCTGATGTCATGTTAAGATCCATTGCTGCTTGGTCTGTCTGTGCATTTCATGCTGCAGCTTCTAAGGTTTTTTTGTTAAAATATTGAGTACACATATCTTACTGATCAAGGCCTTATGGGAGAATATAGAGTAAAGGGTCTCTTTTCTGTGAATACAGAGTAAAGGGTCTCTATTCTGTAAATGTAGAGTAAATGGTCTCTCTTCTGTAAATATAAATAGTAAAGGGTGTCTCCTCTGTAAAAATAGAGTAAAGGGTCTCTATTCTGTGAATATAAATAGTAAAGAGTCTCTCTTCCGTGAATACAGAGTAAAGGATCTCTATTCTGTGAATATAGGGTAAAGGGTGTCTACTTTGTGTAGAGGAAAGGCACTTAACCCAGGTTCAATCTGCATGCAGCAACCCAAAGGCCACATAATATTATAACAGAGAGTTTGTGAGGTCCCAACTAAAATATTTCAGTGTGATAAAAGGAAGAATGGCTTTTTAAGTCTCCATATCCACAAATTGAAATGGAATGGCTGTCAAATGTTCTGTCCTAAGAAACCTTGCATGATCACATGATGTCAGTGAGTAACCATTTGGACATCTGTCTAATTTTCATATATGATATACCTCTTGGAGCACCACAAGTAATGTCCAGAGTGCTGGCAATCAAAACTTATCCTCTTGTACTAACAAATCTGTGCAAGAGTGCCTAAAAGAATAAGAAGAGAAAAGACACAATGAGTTGTACCCATGAATTAATATTGTGCAATACTCTTAAAATTTAGATCATTTATTTGCACCTTTTTATGCTTGTCTGGACTAATGGATGAAATGGTCTGTTACACATGTTGACTTCAAACCTTTTGTTGTTGGATAAATATTATTATTTCCTCTAGTACAAACAAAGTTCTGTCATGGATGCTTGTGAGAGGTGGCTAGAGCTCAATTTAATACCACAGGTGGGGATGTACTTTCTCTTTGCTTTATTTGTACTACAGTGCAAATGTACATGTACAGTGTAAGTTGAAAACCTGTGTTTCTTGTGTTGAGGTCCATATTTCTAAGAGACTTCTGATGTGTAATTCTACAAAATTTAAATGCTTTAATTTGGATGGCCACAAAAAAAAGAAAAAAACTTTTCAGACAAAGGACTTCTTTCCCTCGTACCTTGAAGACATGCTATAGCAACTTGTGAATACAGTGTATGTTAAATTATCTTGCAATAAATATTCTCATCCCTCCCTCAATCACTTTTGTTGCTTTGGAATTTGTCTTTAGAGGGAAAAAATGCTAGAAACAACATTGAGAAGAGGGGGCAAGGGGGGAAGAGGGAGATCCTTAATCGTAGTTGTTTCAACGGTTTTGAGTGCGATTGTAGTTGCTTTTGTCTGTGTGCAACTTTTGACTACAGAGTCCATTGTATAAATGGTGACTACAATTAGGCAAGAGTGATGAGCATAAGGCCTTGAACAAGAAGTGTGCTGACATCTAAGCATGACAGTCATACTTAAGATGTCAGAAGTCAAGAAATATCAATTGTGATATGGCGTTATTTTCGGTTGATTCAAACCCTGCAAGGATTCCGTGCAAGTGGGAAAAGTGGTCTTGAGTGTTCCTTTTATTTTTGGTCTAAAAACTAGTATTGACCCTTTATACATTTGGCTGACTGTCATTATTGCACGGTCCCCAAGTAGGCTTACATGTTTGGATGTCTCAGAAGAATTGGTTAAATTGTTAGAGGGCTGGAATTTGTAGATATACACGGTCAAGCTAATGAAGTCCTAGCTTTGAACTTTGTACATGAGCAGTTCCTAGCGTGTAAAACTAAAAACCAAGGTGAATTAAATAAATGAGTTACATGAAAGGTAGCATTATGGTTTTACTTATGTATTGTTTATTTGTCAATTTAAAGGATATGTGATGCAATTGCAAAACTTTTTTTTACAACTAATTTTGTTGTAATTGTCAACAAGAAAAAGAAAGTTTAATTTTTCGTGAGTCCAACGAAACGCCCTCCTTCCTTTTCTTGTAGCTCTCTGTTCAAATATTCTTGAGTCACTTGCCACAGGACCTTCTGGAGAAGTGCTTGAAATCTACTAAGTAAGTTGTCAAGGATGTAATAACTTTAAGATGTATGTTTTTTTCCTATATCTTCCACTTTTCATTTAAAAGTTGCTAATTCAGTCTGTAATCTTATCTGCATCCCACTCTTTCTAAAACTTTCGCGTACATTGAATCTGCCGAGAGAAAGTTAATGAAACTGTAAGATATAACTTGTGGACTGAAGACTACGCTTTACCCACTGGGTGTAAAGCACGGTCCAGGATATGAAATTTGGACCATTCACATACAGTTATTAACGTGTAGCGTGAATCAGCGACGGTTTCTGGTGCAATAACATTACTTTTTCGCTGTAAAACATTTGAAGCGATATTTTGCGAGATCCTGATCTTGCCAAGTGGCTTTGACTTGTGCGTGTTCATACCTGTTCCATGAAAAAGTAGTCGGTAGCTCGTGGTCGGAAGTGCGCGGTCCGCGGTCCGCGGTCCACTGACCGAATAATTCGGGGAGACCGTGGCAGTCATCTTCCATTTCGTGCCTTTAAATTCGGCGAACTGACTTGAAAGTTCAGAGTTAGTGCATCACACGTTAAAGCAAATTCCTTACCTAGTTTTTATCTAAAGTTCAGAGCCACTTGAAGTTCTTTCTGTGAAGTAGCTAACTGACCAACCACGGGTCGTCTAAAAGTAGGTTAGTGTGGCGCTAAGAATTTTGTTTATAAAACCAAAAGTTTTTGTTACTTTAAAGCTACTTGGTTGAGTTACTTCTTTGTTTGCGCTTACTTGACACAAAACCAGACGACGTTCAAGCTTGGCTGTGGCATTTCTGTACACTGTTTCCTTTCTTACTACAGGCTTTTCACATGGAGTGAGTACTCATTATACAAAATGCTGGCTTACTGGATCTTTCTTCAGCAACACCCTAACTTGCAGGTGAACTTATTGTCTGATTATTAGTATTGTTTTTTTTGTGTGCAAGAGCAAACTGACCCACACAGATTTTCTTAAACCTGTGTATTTCTGGCCTTGGCGGTCTTAATTTGGTGGATTTGCGATCTTGTAGAAACTTCTGCATTCTTTTTCCTTTTTTTTTTCTCAACATTTTATAATAAAAGTTGAGACTACAAAAGTCAATCAAGTAACAATACCTTTCATACAATGAAACACTTACACTACATTACTTGAAATAAACAAAGTTAAGATACTAACTGGATTAGATTCCCTGGAATAGATTCCCTAATCCAGTGATGCGAAATGCAACTTTTGCATTTTACATAACTGGATTATAGGGAAGCCTATTCAGCATACGGTGAATTGCAACAATGTGCAGTACTATAACTTTGATGAATCAATAGCATTACCCTACCACTTGTTAACCAGTCTGTAACAAGACCAAGTAATAATGCTATTAAAATCATTACAGCGTGGTAACATCCAATTCTAAGAATGCAGTGAACCTTCTTCAATACTCGGTAAACCTTGATATATCTATTTCACTGTTACTGTGTTTGCCGGTAGTGTAATCAGAGAATTGTGGTGACATGTTCAGAGGCTTCAAGCCCTTTTTTAAACGTTATTTGTTTTGCGATAATCAATCGCTTTATGTACATGTTGTACCATAATGGAACCTTTACAGCGCAAGCACGTCAGACCTTTTCCTCTCAGTCTTGTGAAACACTTTTGCTGAACCGAGGTCTTTTTCTTCTCCGACTTCTTGATAAAAGCAATATCTGTTTACCGATAACTTTTGCCTTTATCGACCTACAGTTGATGCCATCATGGGGAACTGTTGTTACGTGGTTTATGAGGTAAAAAATAATAATAATTGTCGACACATCGAATTTAAAATCATGTTTATCTTATGTATTTAAGTATCGCGCATTTTCAGTATTGATTTGTTTGTCAGTCGTACTGATGAAAAAAACTTCCTCTTACAGTTTACCGAAAATCACTTCATTTCTTGAGAGGGAAGAGGTTCGTGTAACTCAAACTGAGACTGCAAACTCAGGTTTTCTTTTTTGGCTTTTCTTGAATGTTTTTCGTTATTTTTATTTGTTTTAACGTTGATGTATCATTTTCAAATACATATGACTTAACTACCCTAGGCGAGTATACCATAATTTTGTGATAAAGAATTATCATTTTCATGACCCCTTTCATGTGGGAACTTTTTGAGCTTTTTTTTATATTTGATTCTTTAGTTGGCAATCACAGTTGCAAATGACGCGTACACTGTCCAATTACACAGGGATGACTTGTACATTGTACAGTGACGTTTACACTGTCTAAGCATGACACGTACACGTCCTATCCAGTGCTCCAATAGGGATGGTGATAACCAATATGTTCGGAAATTGTAGTATGATTTTAATAATGTCGAAAACTCACTGCGAATTTTAGTCATTGATCCTGGAGACAAAAATACCTCGCGTACTTTTTTTCAGCGGCGTGAGAAATATCAAATTATGTCAAAACATACGATGGGTAATACGCTAACAGAGTTTTAATGATACTTCTGTACAGGGACATGGTTATATGAATTTATTCAGGGCTGTTAGACTGGCTGGTATCACAGAAAGTAAGTTGAAGTAGTGTAATGTTATCTATGTGCAATAAGTTTTGTGCATGCTTGGGCTAACGTGCGAGTCATTTTACAGTCAAGCCTTCGTTACGGTCAAGAAGAAAGTCGTTTGTTAGCTAAATGTTCTTAACGTGGTTCGTTGGATTTTATTGGTCAGATTAGCCATTCTGTAATTGGCTGGAAGAATTCGTTATTAGTGATTGGTCAGTGTCAGCCCTTTGGGTTTTCCAGTTCGGTTCGTCGTTATGTCTTATCTATATTTTCGCCGGCAGCTTCCGTCAACAGCGTTTTTTAATAACACTTCCTTAAAGGTTGATGTGATCGATGATTATGTGTTTTATTTCAGGTCCTCAGCTTGATGAGCTGCAAAAGATGAACCTTGTTCCTCAGAACTGGTTACTTCGTATCTACAGCCAACATTATCACGCGGTAAACCATTCTTATCGATTTCTTGGAAGTTTTGAGTTATGTCTAATCAGTGTTGTTATTCAGAAGTCTTTGCGGGAAAATCTCGCTTATCAGCCAGGACGTCCCATTTTTTGGTATTGACATTGCTATCTCTTACTTAGTTGCAAGGAGGGGGTGATATGTCTTTGATGACGAGATTTGAACATGGAGCGCTACGTAAAGGTTTCATATTAGAGGAGGTGAGTGTGAAAGTGCTGTTTTCATTTAGTCAAGTCATAGGGCTTCGGAAGGGCACAACGAGGTTAATGGCAGTCTGCGTCACTTCTTTGTGATTGAATTATTCATTTTACTACGATTGCATAAGTTCTGTCAAGGTTGTTGCCGCTACTTTTGATAATTCCCGGATGAGACTAATGTCAGACTTTGGTTACAAGCAAATTATTCTTGAGAAATGTTTGTTTACAGTGCGTAGTAGTCGTTGACTTTACCCTCATAAGAGGACATACAGGCTTGCTATATAACGTTTAAAGTTGTTGAACTTTAACCCTTTATTTTTGTTGCCTTCAGCATTTGAAGTACCACTCGGAAATTATGTCACTTCATGGATTTCATTTTGAAATTAAAGCAGTCAAAGATGAAATGGATTCCAAATATTCCTTCTTTCTCCAGGTTTGTGTATTTGTTTTTCGCTATTTTTATGGTTTTTTTTTCTTTTATGCTTTGCACGTCTAATTTTGCGCCTTTCTCTCTGGCTCTCGTTGTCACGAGATCCTCCTCGTTAAAAAGCCACCTTAAAGCCCTAGAAAGCCTCTAGGGCACAGCCTGCACTACAGGCGTCTTATTAGGGCGAGTTGACGTTAAGAAGCGCAAACGTTTATTCAACTGGCCACGTTTGATTTGGAGGTAGAGTCGACGGTGGAGAAAGGGGGTAGGAAAAGGCGAAAATTGCGGGTAGGGGTAACATTCACTCCCCCACCCTCACACCCATCCCTTTCCTAATTTTTTTTGCTGTTGCTCACCCCCTTGGTACAAATTTCTTTCTCTCCTAGCCTTTCGCAGTCATTAAAATCAATTTTCGCTAAGAAAACACTGGGCACTCGCGCGCCAAAATTACGCCTGCTCTGCAGGCTACCAGGAGCCTTTCACAGCGTTTACAGCAATTATTACCGTTTATGTTGTAGAGATTAAAGCCAAATGACCCAGTGCTATCGTTCAGAGCCTGTGAGCGCCATACGTTCTCTATGCGTCATGATAGAGAGGTAAGAATGACAGACACGATTGCCGTCTGCCTCTTCGGCAACAAATATTGTTTCTTTGGTGTAACTAATTCTGCATATCAATTTTTATTCATTCATTTGCCTTTTTCCCGCAAATAGGTACGGTATTGCATTCGTGTTCAGTGGCTAGACTGCGGAGTAAACAAAGTATTTTCAACGGGTAAGTCGGTGAAACATGAAGTGTTGTAGTTGAAAGTTAGATCAAATTCTCGGTTTTTCTCTTCACGGCAGCTTACGTAGTTTTTTATGCGAAGAACCTCGAGAAATAAAGCAATTTGAAATATATCGCAGTAATATTCCAGATAAAAGATATACAGGTCGTACAGCTTACAATCTGTTTAGAGGAAACGTTTTGAATAAGCAGGTAAGTATCGGTAACTGCTGCTGAGTGCTTGCTGAAAAGATCGTAGAAAGCGCTTCTGCCTTCATGCATGGAAGACGGTCGTTTTTTTAAGTGTTTGCATCTAGCTTGACATGACAAAAGTAACCGATCTCAATTCGTCATGAAAGTATTTGTTTTAAGAAAGTCTGCTTGCATACAAATCAAAAAGTGAAAATCGTAGCGCTCATGAATTTCGCGTTTGTTGTCTGTCTTAATCAGGGTTCGTATGTAGAGTAATGCCAAGATATTCAAAAGTAAGTCTATCTGCTCACATAAGACTCATAGTTTGACTGTATTTTTCAATTGGTTTGTTTATTTTTCGTTGGAATTTTTTTTCAGGAATTCTTTGTCAGAGTTTTGGCTTTTCAGGAAAAGCAAAGCAATCAGAGGTAAGCCATGATGAGTTTTGCGCAGCCAGTGCAGTTGATAACGCTTACGTGATCCCACAAATCGTTACGAGACGAGCTGCAAGATACTCTCTGCATTGCGCAATACGTAGAAAAGGCTTTTCGTTATAACGTCATTCAGCGGTCGTTTCACGACGTTGCTCTTGATTTAAAACCTCGCAACTTTTGCTGTAAATTTTAATTTTTTTCTCTGTTGTGGAGGAAATCGAAGAGAAAACAAAACGTAGACACACTATTACAGTGCCCTTCCCCTCTTATCCAGCACTGACCCGAAACCGTTAAAACAATCTACTATAAAGTAAGCGCTTTCAAGAAACCGTGGCTGTAGCTAAATACTTCACGTTTTACACCACAACATGAATGCACCTTTAATCTATTTTCCAGTTAGACGAATATTTAGATGTAAAGATGTGTGGATGTGTAAAAGTGTAGATGTGATTCGACTGAAAATAAATACTTAACACACTAATCTATGTAGAAGCATAACAACAACAAGAAAAAAGACAAAGCTACATGAAATAGAAACGAACTTACCATTTGTGGCGTTACCAAGTCCGCCAGTAAAACTCTTGGAGTAACCACAGAATACCCTGCCACTTTGGTCCACCTCATTAACATGTGTCGGGAGGCTTTGAAGATCGAGGCATAACACAATGACGCAGGAGCCTAGGCTCCTGATATTCTTATTCAATGCATGTAAATGAGTGGCAGGGTATTCTGCAGTTTAGCCAAACTATTAAACAAAAGTAACTCGGTGCCAGCAAAAACTGACGAAACGACTGAATTAGTTGAAATCAACTAGCAATGAGAATTACCTGACGAAAACAACGCTTACACTGGCGAGAAATAAAACGCTACTGGCGTTACGTAATTCTTACAAAATCTCACCCAAAAACGCGAAGTTAATTGAATAGAGACAGAACATCACAATGATAGTTCTATTGAAAGAAAAAAATGTAAAATCATTTCGCAGTTACTTGACGATAATTAGAAGTGCAAATTTTAGTTCTACATTGGCTAATTATTTATGCATTGTGCCTACACAGGTTGTAACAGTTGATGATGTACGTATGCCATTATACGTAACCGTGTCGTTGATGTTCCCTCCATCCTAGCCTCTTACTCAGAATTTAAGCTGCAGTTTCTCTGTATGATATGTGAATAGAATCTTGTACCTCTGTGGAGTGTTTTCTTTTTGTACAATTGTATTCCATACCTGTACAGAGTGCTTTTGAAAATAATTTTTTTTAGTCAAAATAATAAGCTGTATCCTTTGCGAATAAAGGTATGCGAAAGTTGCTGGGAAGGTTATAATGCATTGTTTTCTTGAGAACACCTGGAAGGAAGCTTATACCTCTCAGCATTGTGGGCTCGTTCTGATTGGAAAACCATTGTGAAGCTGACCGTAACTTAAACGGTATTTTGTGGAGGACTTGGTAGAAGGAAAGCAAGAAAGAAGAGTTTTAAAACTTTTGTACAAGGCCCTGCTGCTTTTCAATTTTATCAAAAGACTTGTGATAAGACGAAGGAAATGGACTTTCTAAACTACAAGGAGCTTTTTGGAACAAATAAAAGCTTCCCTGTAAAGTGCTAAATCACCGCTAAAAAAACTAAACTAAGAAATTTCTCGTATACCTTTTTCACCCTTCAACCTTAGAACTGACCACAATTTTCGCTTTCTTCATCCCCAGGAGAACTAAGTAGCACCCAACTTTGGAGTGTTCATCAATTTATTCTGTCAAAGACCCCTGGGAACCTTTCATTCTGTTACTCGTTGTAGCCATCCATTCCCAATCTTCGCTGGAGCTCTCATCACCCCACTCGAACCCCCTTCATGAAATCTAGTAAATTTAGTTTCTTGGTAAATTTGACCATTTGTCAGCAAGTGTCTTCAAACTTCCTCCAAATGCAGTATAAAAAATGATTATCATATTCAATTAAATTTTGATAGCTCTTTTTGATAATTTCCCTCTTCTACGATTCTCAAGAAATTACCGTAATGATTCGATCTGGCGCCCGAGGAGCTTATTTTCTTTTGGTTCCCCGAAAGAGGGCGCTTATTCGAAACGGGGAGCATATTTTTTTCCTAGGAGCAGCAGAATGTGCGAAGAAAGCTTGGATTCCATTTAAAAGGATCAAGAAGACAGGGAAACGGACTTGTTATCCCTGGATCCCCACTGGTTAGAACAACCAACCAAGCAATCGTTGCGTTTTCCGCGGTAACACACTTGGTAATGGCGGACGCTCCCCATGTGGCTCCGCTTATTTCGTTTCTCCTGACGCTATTTTTGGTCAACGTGTTGCTGAAAAGCTCAAGAGATGATATTATCTATCAGAGGCCTTCATTCGCAAATGGTCTTATCGTCCTGGCCGCTACATTCCCAAGGATAAGTCACCGAAAGTTCGTCAAATCTGGAAAATCGATGCTTCGCCGTCGCTATTCTACGAGAAAATATCTATTCATTCTTTTCCTTCTAATATCTAACGACATTCAACTGAATCCTGGGCCTCTCAATTCCTCGACTCTCAAATCATGCAGTCTAAATGCCCGTAGTATTGTCAACAAGAGAACTGAGCTGCAAGCTGTGGTCGCTACAAAGGAATTAGACATCATCGCTATAACCGAAACATGGCTGAACCCTGAAATAATGGATCAAGAAATCCTGTCATCTGATTATAATATCTACCGAAGAGATCGCCTAGGAAAAGGTGGTGGTGTTTTGTTAGCTCTAAGGGATAACATTTGTTGTTATAGACGTTGTGACCTCGAAACGGACTGTGAAATCCTTTGGTGTGAAGTTCATTTCAATCCCTGCTCAACATACTTTATTGGAGTATACTACCGCTCTCCTAGCAGCGATATGGCCTACCTAACTAAACTGGTCCAATCGCTAGAAAAATTTCCACCATCATGTAATATCCTTTTGCTTGGGGATTTTAATCTACCTAATGTGAACTGGAACCTCGTAGCTCCATGGCAGCCGGACACTATCAGCGATTTCTTTTGCGACTCTGTTATTAATCGTTTTGGCCTCTCACAACTTGTGAATAAACCTACCAGAGGAGACGCTTTATTGGTTTTAATCTTAACCAACACTCCTGCTCATTTGGTTAATGTTGAGATAGACTGTGGCCTTGGAAATTCAGATCATAACGTTGTTTGTTTCGACTTTAATGTCTTTATTTCCCGTCCACATCAAGCTCCAAAGATCGTTTACGATTACAAAAATGCAAATTGGGAAGGTTTTCGCTCTCATCTTTCCAATGCCCCATGGGGCAATGTATTCTTAGAGAACAATGTTGATCAAATGTGGACTAAATGGAAAGAATTGTTCTTTGCTGCTGTTAATAAAAACATCAATACACATCATTTGAAAAGAAAAAGAAATGTTCCTTGGTTAACATCTGCAATTCGTCGCCTTTTTCACAAACGGAAACGCTTATGGAAAAAAGCTAAATCATCTCAACTTCAATCTGACTGGGAAAAATATAGGCAGTGTAGAAACAAAGTCAAATCTGAAATAAACAAGAGCTATTGGCACCATGTTCAGTCTCTTCAAAACAGTAACAATCCTAAACGTTTCTGGACTTTCATAAAATCTGAGACGAAATCACGATCTATTCCACCTGAAGTATCCCTGGAGAACCAAAAGGCTTCAAACAGCTTCGATAAAGCACAGCTATTCAACAACTTCTTCTCATCGGTTTTTATAGAGAGTCCTGGTATTCCTGAGAAGTTACGTGACGATCTTCAACCTTTTACTGATCAAGTCATCTCAAGTCTACTTTGCTCTAAATCTGAGGTCGAGAAATTGCTCATTGGTTTAAACGTTACAAAAGCTCATGGTCCGGATGGGATATCAGCGCGTATGCTTCGCGAGGCTGCACCAGCTATATCAGAGTCCATGACAAATTTATTTAACTTTTCACTCCAATCTGGCACCTTGCCTATGGAATGGAAATCTGCTCACGTCATTCCAATTTTCAAAAAGGGCCAAAAAGATCTAGTCAAGAATTATCGTCCTATCTCTCTTACGAGTCTGATTGTAAAGACCCTAGAAAGACTGATATACAATCGCATTTTTGGATTTATTGAATCAAATAATCTACTTAGTAGTCATCAATATGGCTTTCGTCCTGGATACTCCTGTACCTCTCAGTTGATACACCTTTTCCATGAATGGGCCAAAGCACTAGATAAACGCCTCTCTACCGATGTAATATTTCTGGACTTCGAAAAGGCCTTCGACTCAGTTCCTCATGACCGTCTTCTACTCAAACTAGAACGCTTTGGCATTACCGGCTCTCTACTTTCCTGGCTATCCAATTTTCTCCAAGGTCGATCTCAACGTGTTGTAATCGAGGGCTGCCAATCTGACTGGGCGCCTGTCACATCTGGTGTTCCACAGGGGAGCATTCTTGCCCCCCTGTTATTTATCCTATACGTCAATGACATCCCTGAATCTTTATCAAGTCCTGCAGAAATGTTAGCTGATGATATGTTAATCTATAATTACTGTACTCCATCTAAAACGTCCATCACTGCCCAGGAGAGTCTAGATAAAGTCACTGATTGGTGTGGCTCGTGGCTTTTAGGAACAAATGCTGACAAATGCGAGTCCATGAAGTTCACCAGGGCTAGAACTCCCTCTCCGTGCAACTATACTATTAATAGCAAGCTACTTACCCAAGTATCTACACACAAACATCTTGGGGTAGTTCTTTCCAGTGATTTATCTTGGAAACCCCACGTACTGTCTGTTGTTGCAAGATCGAACAGATTATTGGGCTTACTCAAGCGGACATTTGGATCTCACTCTAGGGCTCTATTTACTGGTTATAGATCCATGATCCGTCCAATACTCGAGTACGCTTGTCAAGCGTGGAATCCTCACCAAGCATATCTGATTGAAAAACTTGAATGCGTGCAAAGGAACGTTACAAGATGGATCATTGATAAAGACACTCCGTATGAAGACCGACTGAAATCCTTGAAACTAGCGACACTCGTTCAGCGCAGAGAATTTCTTAGTTTGGTTCAGCTTTTTAAGTTCATTAAAGGACACTCTTCTGTAAACACTAATAATTACATATCCTTCAGTAACAGGCAATCAAGAAAAAGTCATCAGTTTAAACTATATAAACCATTTTGCCGTACAGACATCTTTAAGTACTCTTTTTGGCACAGACATATCGACACATGGAACAGTTTACCGTCATCAGTAGTTGAACTTGACTCAATTAATGCTTTTAAGAAAGCTCTTAAATCAACATTTTTTAACTAGGCCTATGACTAAAAATTAAATTATTCTATGTATTATACATTATTTAGTTATAATTTTAAACAAAATAGTTATCTTAGATATGTCTTCTTTATTTAGATTTTATATTTATATAGATATATGCCTGTATGTAAAATGTTTCAGTATGTATATGTATATTGCATAGTATTAAATTTTTATATCTGGGGTATAGTTTACAATGAGAATTAAGTTCCTCCCTTCTATAACCCTTTTTTAATAATAATATGTTATATGTTATTATTTAAATAAAGTTGTTATATATAAAATGTTAAGACGTGATCATTCGTTTGAAGGAACTTTACTCTTACGTGAACATGATAGTTGAGAGACTGAGACGAAGATCACTGTTTCTGTAAGGAGGCTTTAAACAAGCAATTGAAGTCAGATGAACCACCATTAATCTAAATGTACGTGTAGTCTTACAGTGCTATTACTGAGACTATAGGGGCGCTTATTAGAATAGTGCTGCTTATTAACAAAGCAATTGCGAGGGAGACACATTGGAACGAGGACGCTAAATCGAATCATTACGGTACGCTCTTAGAGAAACCTGAGAGTTTCGATGCTTTTAACACATATAGTGACGGCAGAATGTCATGTAAAATCCGTGCCTTATTGTGGGTCTTCACTTGTGAAACTCAGTTGTCATCAAAACTTTCTTTGCTTTTGTCGGCCACTACAGAGACGCAATACTCCTGATTTGACTTCCTTATTGAAATTGTAGGACATGCCATTTGATTGGCTCTCAGCTTCTTCCTTCATATAGGGTCATCCTGTTAAACTCAATGTACCGTATTTCAGACCTTGCTAGTTTCACAAATTTAGCAGCTCTCTTGGGCATTAGTCACAGATTAAAATGGTAAAATACTCTCTCTTCAAACATATTTTTTCCTTAAAGTTTTCACAATGTGCAGATCACGTCTATTTGGTTATTTCTACAAGGAAAACTATTTTTTTAAATTACTCACTAGAGATGCCTTTGTGTCACGGCAAGAATTAGAAAAATTATATCATAATTTGCTGATTTAAATCATAAAATGTTCTCTTTTTGAAGTAAAATATTTCCTTGAGGATGTGCCCTTCACACTTATTAAGATATTTCTGCAAGGAAAAGTTTTCTTTTAGTCATGCACCATTCTGAAATGATTGTAAGATGTTTGTCTTCTGTGGTGTCAATGGGCAATAACTGAGAATATGGCATCTTGGGTTTTTTTTAGGCACAAAATAATGTGTT